CGCTCATCGTTAGGTCCCCACATTCGATTTGATATCACGCCACATGCTCGATAGTGGATTCACCAATTTCTCCAGCAAATTTGGTGAATTTGGGTATTTTGTATCCTCTAGGTAATTTTGTCTCGAGAATTGTATTTGGAAAAGGAGAAACAAAGTACGATTGATTAGGTGGTCTTAATTCCACTCCTTGAGGATTCATCCTTTGTCCCATCAGATGATTATACTGCATGTTATTTTGATTATACATATTCTGACATCCCTCATTTAAATTTCCATAAGTATCATTCCTCACATGCTGATATTGATCATTGTTTCGATTTCTCCGTAATAAATAAAGGGGATTGATATTAGCGTTTTGGTTAATATTTTGATTGGCATTATTTTCGACCCTTGTTTGTCGAGGTATCGTCAATGCATTCCCGATCTGTGTCATTTGGTCTGCTAATATCTCAAAATTAGTGGTAGTGTTTTGAACTAATAGGTTTAGTACTATAGTCAACTGTTGTGATAACATGTTAACCATCTCGAAATTGCTTTCGTCCATTTGTTGTCGAAGTACTCCTAATGAATTACTGAAAATTCCAGTACTAGCATTCTCGATAGTCTCAAAATTGGATCGATGATAATCTCTATCGAATGTATATCTCCCGTGATCCAGGTTTGCTCTGTGATCTAGGTTTGACATTGGAGGCGTCTGTTGCGTTCCTAAATTCTGCACATTCCCTGAATTCTGGGGTGTTACTAAATTTTGAGATACCCCTAAATTTGGGGTTACTCCAAAATTTTGAGGTGCCTAAGGTTTGAAATGTTCCTAAACTTTGGGACATTCCTAGGTTAAATCTCGTACTTCGTTATATTGAAGAAGTACCAGCCCCATTCATATTATTAATCGAAAAACCAGGCGGCCTAACACTCATATGCGGACCTGCATATGTTGTTACGGGGTTCCCCGTAGTTTGTATAGTGTTTGACATTACAGTACTAGACCCTAACTGAGTGTTTACTGATGTGGCTGAGCTTTGTTCAGTACTCACAGGTATTGACGTACTCACAGTTGTCGATATTACGGGCATATTCCCATTGTGAACTTGCCCCCCAGTGTTTGGTGAATGTGTACTATTTAGAATCTCACTGTTATTTTGATTATGTGGTGGATTTTGACTCATTCTTATTACTCGCCCACTCCTTAATCTCATACACTTTCGAACTAGCCAATTGTTTGTGTTTTTCGACACAACTTCCTCTACCTGGCGCGCCAATTTGTTTCTGGTTAAAATTTGATCGATTTCGATTAAATCAGAGACTTGGGTTCTAACCAAATTTCAACCACGTATATTCTTTTTACTTAGGCTAGCAAACGGTTTTCAATCAAAAATGCATGAGAATCGAAAATCCAATAGTCTCGAAAAATGCAAACAACACAACCTAGTGTGCAGATTTACAATTGAAAGTACTATTTTTGGTATTTTTTTATTAAGAAGCGTGAAGTAAAGAAAGCAGCAAAGGGTATCGAAATGACAAGCAATGCAGAATATTAAATTGCCGAGGAATGTAAATGACAATGAATTGAAATTGCAAAAATGTAAATGGCGAAGAACTTAAACGCAGAATTTTACTTGCATAAAGGTAAAATGACAAGGAATTGAAATTGCAGAAATGTAAATGGCGAAGAACTTAAATGCAAAATTTTAACTTGCATAAAGGTAAAATGACAAGGAATTGAAATTGTAGAAATGTAAATAATAGGAAATCGACATTGCAAGAACGGTAAATGTAGGAGAATTTAAGTACAGAATCTTATATTGCATTGAAGAAAATGACAAAAATTTAAAATACAGGAACTTAAATTGATGATTGTAAATAAGTTACCAGGGAAAGTAAAGAAAACGGTAAAAACAGTCAATGAGAATGGAAATCCAGATCGCCAGAAACTTCATGATTCGTTGTTCTCCGGTAGACTTTTCACTTGTGTTTCTGTTGTCTCTGCCAATTTCCCCTTCTTCTTCAAGCTTCATTCTATTTATAGGCATCCTTCAATATAACTTCCTGAGAGCAGTTTAAAAACTGTCACCACGTTCCATGTGCACGATCCTCGATTTTTATCTTAGTTTATGTTTTAGGAAACCGCTTCCATGTTCCCATATGCATGATAACCGTTTCCCTCGATCTTGATTCCAATTGTCAAGTATGATTTCCCTTAACCTTGACTTTACACTCCACACTTTATCATCGATTTTTTACTTTCATCGAATTTCTTCTATCTTCTGATTCTCGATTTTTATTCTCAATTTATGTGTTCACACTGTCTGGTGGTCATCGAATGTCTTCTAACCACCTTTCCGATTTATCAACTTTTTAACCAATCATATGATCTTCGATTTTCTCTTTTACGTTTTTTCGATCCTTGTATCGATTTTTTACTAACAGTATCTATCACATGCTCCTCTGTTAAAATTGTACATTGAGACCCTGCTCAATCCATAAGAGTTTTGTGAAAACTAGATTGAATTTCGGAACATCCAATCTAAAATGTATTTTTGAGTTGATTTTTTGAAAACATATTTCAGAACACTCAATCCGAAATGTATTTCTAGATTTCCTTTTCCATAACACTATTTTATAATATTTTTTGGAAAAGTCAATCTGGAAATGTATTTCAGATGAGGTGTTTCAAAATATATTTCCAGAAAATTCAGTTTGAAAATATATTCCGTATTTTTTTTTCTAGAATTCCTTTTTTTTTTGAAATACATTTTTAGGTTGACTTTTCCGGAAAAGTATTATGAACATCCAATCTGAAATGTATTTTTAGAATGACTTTTTCAAAAATGCATTTTAGAACACCCATTACAGTACGTTTTTGGAAAAGTTATTCCATAAATACATTCCAATTTTTTTTTCAAAAACATATTCCAAAAAGTAAATTCTAAAATATATTTCGAAATTGATTTTCCAAAAATGCATTTGTTCTAAAACACTTTTCCAGAATATATAATCAATCAGGAGTAGGGATGGCAAAACGGGTCAGCCCGCCCCGTTTTGGCCTGCCTCACCATAATTTAGAAAAAAATAATTTATTTTTTAAAATATTTTTTTTTAATAAATTTAATAATAAGATTATTATTTGTTTGTCAATAATTCAATATATATTATTTCAATTTAATAATATAAATCAATACATTATTTTAAGAAATTATAATTTAGAACAATAATAAAATTTACATAATAATAAATAATAACATATATATATACATATATATATATATATATATATAACGTTAAAACTTATAAAATTTATATTTTTTATATTGAAAAATTTAAATACCTATATTTTTTTTATTTGATAAAACTTCATATTATTCTTGGTTGAGTAATTCTTACACCTTTAATTCAAGTAATAAGGATAAAAATAATCGGTGCTTAGGATAAACAAAGAAAACATGAGAGAATGTTACGTTTCGGTAAGGAGAATATTTTCTTTGAGAGTGAAATTTTTTTAATTCTCTTTTTAAAATTTTTAACTTTATATATTATCTTTATAATTAATTTTATTACAATAAAAACTTATTTTTTTAATAATTAGGCGGGTCGCGGGTTGGCCCGTCCCGTCCGCGGGTTGGTGAGGTGTAAGGGTAAAATAGAATTTAAATTAATTATGAAAATACAGAAAGAAACTATGGAGGTGCAGAAAGTAACAAAGAAAGAATATTTCAAGCCCAAAAGCCCAATAAATGGCCTTAAAAACATCTCTAGCAATGTTAAGAACTGTTGTTTGTTTTAATTGAATTCACTATTATTTGCGGATAAAAAATGTGTAAACACCGTACGAATTATATATTCTTATACAAGCATCCATTATTAATAATTAAAAAAATATGTCAAAAGCAATTTATGTCACTAATTTTTTAACTATCGTGCTTCAAAGTATTTATTAAATTTGTTTATTATTATAATATTTTTTTAAAAACTGGATTAGTCACAATTTTTTAATCATATTTTTTACCAACAGTTCAAACAAAACCTTATTTAAAAAGTTTAAAATCAATTTCATTCACACCTCCAACACATACTGGTTCTGGATATCAAGTTTTAAAATAACTGTTCTATTGGAAATACAACTGAGGTTACTTTTAGATAAAAAAGTATACACATTTAAAAAATTAAATAAATTTATGCATAAATTCAAATTAGTTATACATAAGTTAATTTATAAAAGTTCTATCATGTTAACTTCTCAAAAATCATATTTTTAACTTATATATTTAGAATAGTTTTAATTTATGCACACAATTTTTTTTAGAAATACTTATAAACCCTAAAAGGTTAAGTACACCGAATTAGTTAAAAAAACAGTTACTCAAATTTAATTCATCTAAAGAAATCAAATTGATACTTGAATTTAATTTGATTTAAAAATATAAGTTTTGGTTTGACTCATTAATTTATTTATGATTTATTTAATTTTCCTCATTGAACTTCTCTTTAAATAAAAAATTTTATATTAATATAATATCTAATAGATATATTCATGCTAAACTAAAATGATGATAAAAAACAATTTTTGTATTTATAAAAATTAATTAAGATAGGAGATGAAATATTTGATAATGAGAACAATGGATTTATTTTTGGAAAATTTAAAATTATTTATTTAAAATATAAATCTTGAAGATATTGGAGGTATGTAAGTACGCTGATAAACAAAATTATGAATTTTCTGAAAATAATAAGTAAAATTGCAATTATGTTAGAGACATGTTACCAATTTCTTTCAGGATAAACTTCGGAATATGTATATGCATTAGATATAGTGCAGACCATGTAACAAACACTAATTCATTGTGAAAACTTCCAAGAAGAGTGATTACATGTTCCTCCACAAAATCAAGATCCATGAAACAAATACTCTCATGCTACCAGTCTCATCAGGTACTATATATCATAATCAGTATCCATTCATCTTCCTCTATCCTTACAAGGACCATATAAGATCTAAAGTTCTACTTTCTTCTGTTCTTACAAGGACCATAAGATTTACTACAGTAGAGAAAATATATAAAATTTAGAAAGCTCAAAGCACAAATAAGACTGTAGTAGTAATCATAATGACCCTTGTTTATGTTGCTTGAAACCCAACTCCCATATCCTCCACCTCCAGTAACCTTGTCCACAACACTCAGAATGAAACTTGCTATCAAACTTGCAACAGAAGATCCAAGGCCATTAAGAGTGGAAGCAAGACTAGACATTGATGAAGGTAGCTCAGAGAGGAAAAACTCATTCTGTCCTATTACACATGAGCCCTCAGCCAAACCATTAAGGATTTGGCGTGGCAAAAGCCACAAAGCAGACATATTCACCACAGCTTCTGGTTCATCTGAATACCCTTGCTCAATAGCAATTTTGCGTCTAAAGCTCTCCACAATTGCAAGGCTTGCAATTGCTGTGCAACTAGTTAAAAGACCAGTTCCTATTTTTTGCTTTGCTCCTATGTTTGCCGGACACCCTTTTATCTTTGATACCACAGGGACTAAAATGCGGTCATAGATTATAACCCAAAGTACTAGAGATACTATCATAAATGACATAAAGGAGCCAGGAGGAATTTCGAAGTTTGAAGTAATGTGGCGGTTCATGGAGGATGCCTCTAGTACCAGAAAGGAACCCTGACTCATGTTCACACCCATCATGATTCCTGTTGACCAAATGGGAACTACCTTGACAAGTGCCTTGAGTTCTTCCACTTGGTCTACTGTGCAAAGATTCCATGGATTCATAGCTCTTCCCTCTGCAGTTAGATCTTGTAAGGGATCTCTGATTATGCATGCTTTGTTGAGAAACCTATCAAACAAAATTACTGCTTCATTAAGCCTTTTCTCGAAAAAATAGTTTACAAGATCACTCAAGTGAACTAGAAATAGAACATATGATATATACGCATGCTAGAGTTTCAGTTTGGTGCACACATCATAACTATAAGCTAGCATTACTACATGATCCACCAGACCAATATTGCACACACATTCAAAAGTTAAAATGGCATTCCAACTTATACAGGCTTCAATGACAAGTAGTGACTTCCAATCTACAAGCCAAAACTTGATTAACAACAATGTTGGTTGTTCAAATGGTATCAGCAATGACTGAAAAAAAAAAAAAAATATATATATATATATATATATATATATATATATATATATAATTTTGATGCAATTATTAGCTATGCTTATAACAATATCTTGACAATTTGAACAAATAAAAATTCAAAAGAAGGATTAACTGAACAAAAGAAACGAAATATATACCTTAATTTTTGAGTTGGCATTAGGAGATCAGAATCCTTCTCTAGGTGGTATGTACCATCCTCGGTCTCCAGTGGTAACTGGAGAAATCTATTTTTGTATGAGGCTACAAGGACCTGTGCTACGCCACTAAGCATGTTCCTTTTAACCTCCGCCATTACATAAAACGGAGAAGCTAAGAAAAATGATACAGTTGCTATTAACATTAGGATAACGGGAACTCCAAATCCCATTGCCCATCCCATATAATCTTGAATATAGACAACAACAGTTAAACCTATCAATGATGCCACTGAAACAGCAGCATAGTACCAGCTGAAGTAGCTCTCTCGGATTCCTGCCTCTTTGTCCCTCTTACTCAACTGATCCACACCAAAGGCCAAGGAGGATGATCTTATGCCTCCAGCTCCAATGGACATTAGGGCAAAAGAAGAATGCAAGATCAAAAGGTGAATTGTTGTAGGAGAGTTATCGCAGCTGTCGGTAAATTGGTTGCAAAATGGCTTTGACAAAGGAATCAAAGTTGTTAGCCACAGAAGAATCATCCCCTGCAACCCCAACACAAACAAGAAAAACAGTTTTAATTTACTGGGTTTATTGTACACCACAGTACTGGTAAAGAATTATTATTATTTTAGCTCATCAATGATACTGGAATACAAATTTAACAAAACAAAACAAAATAAGAGCTACTCTAAGCTGAGCAATGTAGATAAAATCAGTGACTGAAAAGTGACAAATAAAATATCACAAGGTTTTAAAAAACCAGCAATAATGGTTTAGTCATTACAATGGCATCTTGACCACAATCACATTCTCTTCAATTTCATGGAATGACAACTATATCGTGCCAAACTACAACCGCGGTTGCAATTAAAAACTTTGATCACAAGAGAAAAGAAAGAAAATTACCAGTAGGCTTGCAACAGATCCAAAAGCAATCATGGAATATCGACCCACATAGGAGTCTGCAAGCACAGCCCCAATGAATGGGGTGAAATTTGAGACAGCAGACCATAGCAGGAGAAAATTAGTGGCTCCTGCAGTTTGCATGCCATACACTTTTGTCAAGTACAATATCATGTTAGGCATTAGCCCAAGGCTAGCCAGTCTCTCAAAGGCTTCATTTGCTGCAGAAGAACAACATTTATCAGCATACAACAAGTTGATCAGGTATAACAAAAGGGAAACACATTCATTATCACACATCTGAAAAAAAAAAAAAATGGTACCTCATTACCTATGATGAAAGGTAAGGTTCTGAAGCCACCCTTGGCATTGCAATTCTGCTTTCTCAGAAGGGGTTCTTCTATCACACTTTCCATTTGTGAGAGGCCTTCCATTGCCAGAGACACACCTGGATGAGGTTGTGAGGCAGTGAAATGAAGACTGTACGGCAGTGTACCATATATCCTATGTATGTGACACCAAAACGGGGAAGTGGTCCACTCAGCTATAGCTCCCACATGTTTATGGAAGAATCATACGCATGACAAAAACTCTGATACACGAATAAAAAGTGTGTGGGGTTCTATAAATAGCATATCCACTATTACTTTTTCTCAGCAAGACATAGGTAACATAAGCTCTAAATAGTTGATGTAACATGATGAAACTTTAAAATTAAGATTTGGGTGGGTAACGTACAAGACTTTCCGTTAAGAATAAAAAACTATTTTCAATATGAAGACCATGTATTTAGAACATCAATTTAAAAACATTATGTGACATTTTAAGAACATGAAATCTTTTTTATTAATGTAAAAAATAATTTGTTGTGTTCAATAATATTAAATTAAAATTTAATTATAATAATTAAATTATTTTTTATTAACTATAATAGTAAATTGTCATATAATTTCAGTCATATTACGTTCATATTTAATTATAATAATTAAATTAATTTTTTAAGTTGCAAAAAAATGAAGTATAAATAAAAAAAATATAGGTTTTATTAAATTTTACTATTGGAAATTTGCAATTAAATCTTAAAAACAAGACAACATGATAAAATCTCAATATAAAATCTCATAAAACCCTTCCATTATTAATTAATGTTCTAATTTACTATTAAACAACTTTCTCTTCAATATGTTAAACACATTAATCATTATGAGAAGGAATGAATTAAAAGCCACAACATTATATGAGTCTCATTTAATCACTTGAATATAGATTTTAATTAATAATGAAAGCTATGTCCGAAAGACTGTATTGTTACATTTCTTTTTATCTTAAATGAATGGATATCATTAACACTAATGTTTTTTATATTTAGATTTGTTTTTATATATAGGTTTATTATTCTAACCTTAATAGTAAATCCAATGATGGAAAAAAAAAAAAAAACATTCTTTTCCACTGTCTGTAACCTTGCTTCGGGAATACACTTCTTCCCTCCTGTGCTGATATACTCTGGATTGTGTTCTCATACTGATATAAGTAGTTATATTCCTTTCTTCATCCCATAAAAAAATAACTGTTAGTTTCAACTACCTTTTCTAGTATGGCATGGACCAATTAGTCCTAAAACACAAAAAGCAACCATTCATAGATAATAACTTCTTTGAACAAAATGATTTTCCAAAACGTAGCGTGTGAGGCACCGTTCACTTTGTTCCAAAGGTTCTGGATGAAGGACAACTTTGTCTCTGATTACTCTAACAAGTTTTTATGCTTTTTATAAGTTCTTTTCTTTTCCGATGCTAATTAAGGCCATTTTTAATGCAATTTATTACTTTATTCTGATATTGAAGCTTGATTAAACGTACTTTTGCTAGAAAACATCTGTGACGTGTAAATAAAATAATCATAAAAATTTATACAAATATACTGCTATATTTTAAAGTTAAAGTTTCACATCGAACGAATCAAACATAAAAATAAGTTAAAGTTAAAGTCTCACATCCAACGAATCCTAAGTAGACTTAAGTTTAAAGGGATCAAGGGATCACAAGTAATTGGATTTATACCTTTTAAACAATATAGTTTTTTGTTATGCTTTATACACATTTAATTAAAAAAACACACTCTTATTGTGATTGCAGCCACGCTAAGTTTGGATATATATATATATATATATATATATAGGCTTAAATACAATTTTTTTCCTAATAAATTTATTATTTTACATTTGATATCTATTACCATTTTTTATTATATTGGTCATTGGTAAATCGAATATTTTTCATGTTATCTACAATTAGATAATAAGTTTTTTTATTTATTTTTTTCTTATTTGGTCCTAATGTTAAGTTCTGGTATATGTTGACGCGAGGGTTGAGAAAAAAAATTGAATCACTATAAATTGTTGGCAAGCTAATAAAAAATTATCATAAAAGATTGGAGCAGTTGGAATCACAAATAAAAGATTCAAATTAGTTGCATCAAGCCTGCAGTCACAATGTAAAGTGTTATTAATTATTTGATGGTGAATATTAAAAATTGAGCCTAAGTTTAACTTTATTATTTCTTATGCAGAAAAAAATTGATACAATTAAAAGTGTTATAATATATTTTGTCCAAATATATTTGTTTTGTGCAATGATCTACCATTTTCTATGGATACTTTGTTCATATACTTGGACATTAAATGAAATCACATTCACACTAAGATAATAGAACTTAATAATAAAATCAAGTATGATTTTTTTAGGAATCAATAATCCAAAAAAAATTATGAAGAAGAAAAATAAAAATTAGTAAATTTATTAAAAGATAAAATTTGATTTAAGTCAAAAAGAAGAAAACATATATTAAGTAAATAATGATGTAAAAGAGTTAACAATTTTCATTAACATAGATAAGTATTTTATTTATTTTTTTTATCAAGGACCGAGAAGAAACAATTTATGGGACCAAATAAGAATTTAAGCCGAAGATATAATTATTGATATTTCTTAGAATTTAATTTTTTTATTACTTTAATAACTAATTTATAGTAGATTTATGAAAAAAAAATTCTAAACAAATATAAAATATATAATAAGAATACGAAAGTTACTCATCAATGTAAAATAAATTGTGTATTTAACATAAAGTAAGAAATTTAAAGGTGGTAACTTACTAAATAAATAGATATTATTATAATAGAGATTTTTTTATATAGATAATTTTAAAACATTTTACTTTGATTGACAAAACTGACGTAGAAAATGAGGGATTTCGACATCAATAAGTAATATCGATAATAAAAGGTGAATTTCACCACCTATAATGTGTAATTAATGTAGAATGTATCAGTAAACAATAGTATATTCTACGTTGGTAAGAATCCTCCTTAATGTGATATTTTCTATTAAATAATACCATTCCCAATCTCTCTAATTTCAAACAAATCACCCTAATCGACAATTTTATGATACTTATTTGATTCACGAAAAGTAGGTTTTTATTTATAAATGTTGTAAATAACTATACAAATCATTTTACATTTATGCTTATTACTCTCACATTCTTTTTGTTTTTGTTTTTAGATTTATATATCTTTATTTTTATTATAAATCTTATGAATTATTCATTAAAAAAATAAAAAAATTAAAAGTAAATGAAATTATATACAAACTTACTAGATGAAAATATATCAATAATTATAAACCAATTTTATACATTTAATACAAACAAAATTTTAATTTCATTCATGGCACTTGGATGATTCCAACCTTCACAAAAGTTTATTCTGTATTGACATTGAACATTAATTTTAGAAAGTTAAATAATAAAATATTTATAAATAATAAATAAATATAAAAATAAATAAAAAAGATAAAATAATAAAAAGATAAAATTATAAATATATAAATAAATATATTAAATAATAAAGATAAAATTATAAATATATAAATAAATATATTAAATAATGGGAACCAAAATCTTTGGAGATCTTATTTCTCTCAATTTATAAGAAGATAAATCACTATTGATATTTAATATTAGAAAATGAGAGTGTATTGTTTTGACAAAATCTTTTTACTCTTAAAATCAATTGTAACAGGTGAATAGTTTACTAAGTATTAAATCATAAACATCCAACACTATCTAATATTATTTTAATAAGAGTATAACTTCATTATTTCACCAAAAAAACAAGATAATTAGTAAATTAGAGTACTTCATACCACTTACCCGTTACCATGAAGAGAAGGGTATAGCAAAAGGAACAGTATTTGTCCTCCACCTTCACATGTTATCGGTTTGAAATTCGATATACATGTCCATCTCAAAATACATCTTAATAGGTAAATAATAAAATCATATATAATCTTTATTTTCGAGGGTCTTTCTCTTTTAATTCTTTTTTTATTTTATTATTTTTCAAATTTCCAGTGACATCATATTAAAGATTTTATGAGAAAATTGTCATATATCTAATATGTTTTTATTAAGTCTCACTTAATAAGTTTACACATTCTCAAATTATATAATTATCATATATTTAATATATTTTTATTAAGTCTCACTTAATCAAGTTTACACATTCTCAAATTATATATTAATTATATTTTTAGTGCCGCAAAAAAATATAATAATATTCTATTTAAAAAAAATATTAATTAGATAAAATTAAACTTTATAATTTAATTAATAATATTTTTTATCTAATAAAAATAAGAATACTCAGTAATTCCAAAGTTTATTATTACCTGATAATAAATTAACTCATTAATTTACTAATTAAGATTGATGCTTAGCATCATCACTCCTTAATCTTTAACTTTAGAACTACTAAAAAATTTATATAATATTTCTTTCAATTTTTTTTCAACTCTATGTTAATTTTAGAATACGGTATAATTGTTAAATTTTAATAAGTTAATATGTGATGAAAAATTTAAGAAACTATATTTTTCTTTTATTTATAATATTCTGACCAAGATTTTTATAGAGCTCAAATTCATTATTATTGATAGATTCTTTCTTGATTAATCATTAATCCTACCTAAATTTAATTATATCTGATAATTATTTAACTAATATCACAAGGTATTAAATCCAATATCAAAATATAATAAATAATTTATTAATTACTATGATAATCTCATATCTAAATAAATTATATAATTTTTTTAAAGAATTTTCAATTGATATTTCAAAGATAATATTAACTATTACGAATTCTTCTTTCGGTGAATCATCATATTTATATATGCACCGTAATTTAAAAAATAAAATCAATTAATTTTTATATGATATACACCACTACACATACATTTTAATCCTTAATAATAATTTAGATAAAAATTATATAAAAATTACATGTAAAACTTATTTTTCATTATTATAATCTATATTATAATAATAAATTTATAATTTTTAATCAAGTAACTCTTCATATAAATTATGTAAATACAATGATAAAATAAATAATAATAAACCTAATTTTATTACTATCTTAAAGGCAACACGTAGCTGGTGGCTCCGCCGTCCTGCATGGCGTAGTCTGTTGCCCCAAAACTCATCATTATTTTCTCACATGTCTTTCTGGTTGCCATGGAAGGGATCGATGCGAATAATAATAATAATGAGTGAGATGGCTGAGAGATGAGGGTGAATGAAAAGGTGTGGAGGATGAAGGGGGAGTGGTTGAGGTGGTTGAAGGAATGGTGTGCAGAGCAGAGTGAAAAAGTGCAGTGACTTGGGTGGCGACACATGCTAGCAGGTTGTAATAATAGTTCTCGGTTTTTGTCTCGAGGGACATGAGGTGACAATTTTTAAATCAATTGATAAACTCCTTCTCCTTGTATTATCCAGTTGTGGGAAATGTTTCTCAGTCACGTTTGCTGATATAGAACAAGTATTACGACCAGCGTTAAGTTGGGATGGAATCTTTGTGTTAGAAAGGCTTGGATTTATATAGTTTTTGACTTGTAGTTTAGGTTTTTATGTCTTTTTTCTTTTTCTTTTTTTTTTCTTATTTATCTTTACTTTGATTCTTCTATTTATAATTCTTCAACTTGATTCACCTCTGTATACGGAGTGAGAAGGTAAGGTAAACATTTTGTATTACTATTAGCTGGTGAATGTAAATAAATTGTGAAATGTGCAAAAGTAAAATGATTAAAAAGTAGGTTAGGATTATTTGTTTGTACAACTATAACGATAATTGTTCTAAATGATTGCATGTTTCAATAGTTTTTATTACTACTGTACGTAGACATCATAAACTCATATAATTCTGTTATTATTAAACAATAATGTGAAGTGTTCAACAAATTATAAAGACAAAATTTTGTCGAGAAAAAGTTTTAAATGACTAGTGTTTACATTAATATAATTGAGAACTGAAAAATTAATTGGTAAATGGAAGTTGAAAACCAGTCATGCTAGAATTTCATTAAAAAAAATCATTTTAAATAATAAAAAAAGTTTCGTAGATCTTTCTCCTTTTCCAAATAATATGATACTTTGTATTTTTTTAAAATAAACAAGTGTAGAAACTATTTTATGTGGTGTAGAAAGAATGAGGCACACAAAATGGGTTGGATTGAATCCTTTACATTGGGCTGACACATTAACACGCGTGATGTCAGAGACTCGTCAGTTAAATCGCGCATTTTAGTTTTTGAAATAGAATATTATAATCAAAAGCGTACCACTACCTACTTTTTTTGACCACTAAACTCAGCACTTTCTTTTCAACATTCCCTCCTTTTCACAATCTATTTATCAATATCATATTGAAATCCAATTTGGCTAATATTTTGAATTAAAATTATTATATGCATAATTTTATCTATTTTAATAAAGTCAATAAATATTTTTTGGTAGTTTTTATAGTTAATACAATATTTATTACCCATTTTGGTTGGACAATATTAAACATATTTGACACATACTCAGATAATATTGCTATCAGGATTTATGAGGGGTTTGTAACGGAGCCATAAAAATGTTTGTAATAGAAAGATAAACTAATATTTCGGTAGTAGTCAAGTCATACAATGGTTTATAAAATCTCAAAAGAAAAATTAATTTAATAGCTGCAAAGCTAAAAAATATATTGCTGTATTTAAATTAAGTATTTTTTTATATTATTTTATTTCCAACCTTATCTGTAAAACTGTGACTGTCAGCATGAATTGTCATGAAGAACTGTAACACGTTTTTACCAAAATTATGGTATATATACTTTTTTTATTTGTTTGCAAACTCTTCTTTTAAAGTAAAAAACACCTGTGTTAGAAACAGCCTTATCCAGTTGAAAATTCCCTACCAAACAAAAATCTAGAGCAAATATTATTAACATAGTTTTAACATATTCGTTATTAGTTTTAATGATTAAATTGATTTTTGTAATTAATAAAAATATATTTATAGGACCGTTAATGTTCCTAGTTTTAGCATAATACGATTATTAAATTAATTAATTTTGATGGTAGGAATTAGTAAGAGAGAATTACGGAAGGAGCGCAATAATTGAGGCATTGAATTGTTAGATCCTGCTGAGTCAGATTTGAGTATATCCAAAGCAGATAAAGCTGGAAGAATAAATAATATAATTATTGTTGAAGAGAGAAGCGTCGGTTATTATTGAAAATGTGGGAGGTGAAAGACAGAAAGCGTGTTGTTTGAAATTGAACATGTGTTGGAACAGTTACTAGGAAATGTTGCCATGTTTGTGTTGATTGAGTTAGGTAACAGCACAGCACAGGAATGTTGAGCTGAGGTAGAGCTCGTTGGATTGGACAGGTCAGCAACCAACTTTTATTAAAAACTAAACCAAACCTTTCCATTCCCACATTACCCTACAACCTCAATTTCTCTTCAGCTCTCTCTCTCTCTCTCTCTCTCTCTCTCAGCAAACCATGGAGAGGATCATCGGCGGCAAGTTTAAGATTGGTCGGAAAATCGGAAGCGGTTCATTTGGACAAATTTATATTGGTTAGCACCACCATATATGTCTTTCTTTCTGCCTTTTGTTTTTGAACTGGAATGGACTATTTTGTATATTCTAATCATAATATTGGAGACATGGTTATTGCTATTTTATATATCTACATCTATCTGTATGTGTACTGTTGTATGCATATGATCTGATCATTGTTTTTTTTTTCCCTTTTTTCAGCCTCAAATATCGACACCTCGGAGATTGTTGCGATCAAGATGGTTAGCCTTTTTTTTTTTTTTTTCTGGGTTTCAGCCACTTTTTCATGTTACTCAAATTTCGTTTGAATTGAATATTAGGTATGAGTAGGTAGGACCTGCTTAGGTTGAAACTTTGTTTTGTACAAATGACCGGAAAACTATCTTTTTTCTTTTACTTTTTTTTTTTGTTTACAAATATTTATATGAAACTAGTGAAAAATAATGGAATGATAGCACAAATGTTTGGAAACTAGAAATGAAGTCAAACAATGTGATGTTTATGTAATTATTTGTTGAAACAGAAAATGGAAATGTAAAAGAAGTTCTTAGTTCTATTGTTTGAGTCTCATTTTTTTATTTTTCGTGTGTGCTTCTCCAGCTTGCGCATGCTGGATGGGGATAAGTGTTAGAATAGGCTACAGTCTGTAGTGTGCATAAATGGTAGAAAGCTTGGGTTAAATTTAAACAGAGAACTTTACTTGTTAGATGTTTGCAATTGTTTTTTGCTCTTCTTTTGGTAGCCTTCATGTTCAATTATTCAAGAATAATACATATGGTCTAATTGGGATTTATGATGCCATGTTCTGATGTTGTAGGAAAGCAAGAAGACCAAACATCCACAACTATTGTATGAAGCAAAGTTATATAGTATTCTTCAAGGAGATAGTAAGTTATATAAAAGAAACACCTCAATAATTTAAATGCCCTCAGCACATTGTCAGAGATTAATGTTAATTATTTTTTTAATTCCTCTTGCTCTTTGGCGTTTAGGTGGTGTTCCGAGTCTGAAGTGGTGCGGTACTGATGGAGACAATAATGTTCTAGTTATTGATCTTCTGGGACGGAGTCTTGAAGACTTGTTTGTCTATTGTGGGAGGAAGTTTTCATTAAAAACAGTTTTAATGTTGGCCGATCAGATGGTAATCACCTATTCATGTCTGCATTGCTTAAGTTTTCAAGGAGCCTGCATTTGTTCCTTCGTGACTATTTTATTTCCCATGTTTCCTTCAAGTTACTGTATGAGTTTTGTCTTTAAAATTAAGTCAATAGAAAATGGGAGTTTTCCATGTTTCCATGCGTTTTGCATCCATGGGAGTTTTCAATAGAAAATAAAGTCAATTTCTTTAACTTGCCTCCAGCTGACAAGAATAGAGTACCTGCATTCCAAGGGATTTTTGCATAGAGACATCAAACCAGATAACTTCCTTATGGGTCTTGGGAAGAAATCAAATCAGGTAACATCATCAAAATTCATTCTATTTAATGATTAACTTAAGTGGATAGTTTTCCTCTCTGATAGTCCTTTTATGCTTACAATCTCATTTATATGTTTTCTACAATTTTTTACATTTACAGGTTTATATTATTGATTTCGGACTAGCAAAAAGATACAGGGATCCAAACACAAACAAGCATATTCCTTACAGGTACGTTTTGTTCTGATTAGTTTTGGTTTATATTTTTTATGTCTTCATGTTATGAATCAATGTTCTCCCAGATCTAGCAGTGTCCTATGTTATAAGGTTTTCTAGGATCAAACATATGTGATTACTTTTCCATAATTTGTTCACTAAAGCAATACGGTTTTTCCTGTTTCTTCGTTTTTAATGTTTTACCAAAGGTTTAGAGGTGGAACTGGATGATATCATTTTGCTTTAATGTCATGGTGGCTTGACATGTAATTAAAATAAAAAGAAACCAATAAGGAACAGTAAACAAAATGTTCTTTATTGAATACCACGTAACAATATTGTCCGTTCAAAATTTTAATAGTTATAATCTTGTAATCACCAAGATTTTGTAACTGGTTGAACTATTACCTATCACCATCCTTGCAGTGTATTTTACCAAGTAAGATATCGTATTCTTTTGTTTTTCCAAAGAATTAGGATGGACATTATTGTTTAGCAATGGGAAGCCTTGTGATCTGTGGAATCTCAAATAGTTCTGTTTCTGAATTATTCTGATTGATTCATTCTGTGTTGCTTGTGCTTTATCAGTTTTAGTTTAATTAGCAAAGTTATCATTGCCTAATATTTGTTTTAACCTTGATACACTCATCCAGAGAGAATAAAAGCTTAACAGGAACTGCACGTTATGCAAGTTGCAATACTCACATGGGAATTGGTGAGCAGAAAGAACTTTATCGTCTCTATAACTGCAACTTATAACCTACAAATTTCCCACAAATTGTTTTTCATTTTTTCAGAACAAAGTCGCCGTGATGATTTGGAGTCTCTTGGATATGTTCTAATGTATTTTTTAAGAGGAAGGTATGTTTCTCCTATTCATTGTAATTTCCAGGCATCCTCATTTAAAAACATAATTGTGCATATATATGACACAGGTTTTTCTGGTAAATATATGGCTTGACTATCTGGTTCTTGCATTTCAGTCTTCCTTGGCAGGGTTTGAAAGCTGTCACCAAAAAGGAAAAATATGACAGTATTTGTGACAAGAAGTTATCAACTCCCATTGAGGTATGCCAGTTTTTAAATTTCATCAAACAGTTGGACTCCCTGCCCCAATACAGTTTTCAATTTTCTTTTACACTGAACCTCATACTGTGGCTGACTTAAGCTAATGGAAATGTGGAATAGTTTTTTATTAGGATAGACTCCCTGTAACAAGTCCCACATTGGGGAGGCCTCCTTACCAGGGAGGTCTTATAAGGTAGGAGGTTCTCCAACCTCTTGAGCTAGCTTTTGAGGGATGGTTCCCCTCTTAGCCTTATGATTGTTACAATGGTGCTTTCATTGAGAGCCAGCCAACTCGAGAAGGGCTACCCACGGAGGGTTCTGACCGCCGGAGGGTTCTGACCGGTAAGAAAGCCGAGTGAAGTGCCGGTGAGTGAAGTGTCGTGGAGTGTAGCCATCGAGGACGCTGGCTTTCGAACGGGGTGGTATTGTAACAAGTCCCACATTGGGGAGGTCTCCTTACCAGGGAGACCTTATAAGGTAGGAGGTTCTCCAACCTCTTGAGCTAGCTTTTGAGGGATGGTTCCCCTCTTAGTCTTATGATTGTTACAATGGTGCTTTCATTGAGAGCCAGCCAACTCGAGAAGGGCTACCCACGGAGGGTTCTGACCGCCGGAGGGTTCTGACCGGTAAGAAGGCCGAGTAAAGTGCTAGTGAGTGAAGTGCCGGTGAGTGAAGTGTCGTGGAGTGCGTCCATCGAGGACGCTGGCTTTCGAACGGGGTGGTATTGTAACAAGTCCCACATTGGGGAGGCCTCCTTACCAGGGAGGTCTTATAAGGTAGGAGGTTCTCCAACCTCTTGAGCTAGCTTTTGAGGGATGGTTCCCCTCTTAGCTTTATGGTTGTTTCAATGGTGCTTTCATTGAGAGCCAACCAACTCGAGAAGGGCTACCCATGGAGGGTTCTGACCGCCAGAGGGTTCTGACCACTGGAGGGTTCTGACCGGTAAGAAGGCCGAGTAAAGTGCCAATGAGTGAAATGCCAGTGAGTGAAGTGTCGTGGAGTGCAGCCATCGAGAACGCTGGCTTTCGAACGGGGTGGTACTGTAACAAGTCCCACATTGGGGAGGTCTCCTTATAAGGTAGGAGGTTCTCCAACCTCTTGAGCTAGCTTTTGAGGGATGGTTCCCCTCTTAGCCTTATGGTTGTTTCACTCCCCCGCCCTTTTATATTTTGTAGTGGGTGGAAAGGACTTTGTGTTGGCCAATGAGTGAAGTGTCGTGGAGTGCAGTCATCGAGAACGCTGACTTTCGAACGGGGTGGTACTGTAACAAGTCCCACATTGGGGAGGTCTCCTTACCAGGGAGACCTTATAATGTAGGAAGTTCTCCAACCTCTTGAGCTAGCTTTTGAGGGATGATTCCCCTTTTAGCCTTCCCCTACCCTTTTATATTTTGTAGTGGGTGGAAAGGACTTTGTGTTGGCAAATTGAGAAGGAACTGGAAATTAGAATTATGAAAAACAGGAAGAAACAATGGCAATCCTTAAATCTGTGGTTCTTCTCTTGTAAATTTTCTTATTGAAGTTTTCTGTCACTCAGAAGTTTACCGATTTCTTGTTATCAGATGCTCTGCAAGTCGTATCCTGTGGAGTTTGCTACATACTTTCATTATTGCCAATCCTTGACATTTGATCAACACCCAGATTATGGATACTTGAAGCGCCTGTTTCGTGATTTGTTCAAACAAAATGGTATTGGCTGTTTGTTTTATCGTATTTTTGAAAATGACAATTCTCATATTCGTTGATTGTTTTAGAATTACATGCATAAGTATGATATGTAAATGGCTCCATTAAGTAGTATTTAACCTTTCTTCCTCTCTCCTCTAGTCATGCTAGATCTTGTGCCAAAGTATCTTTATTTTGGCCCAGAATTATTCCTGAGACTATAAAGCTAATGGTTGGAGAGCAGTCCTACTTCAGGACAAAGCCATTTATCTAACTTTTATGGTTTATTGTTTCCGTTCATTATTCTTTTTTCACAAGCATGGACTCAAGTTTTCAAGCTGTGAAAATTTTATGAATTTTTCATTTAATTCTTGATGTTTGTCAGTGTTTGGAATTAAATCGTTTCAGCTTTCAGTAATTTTGGGGTTTTCAAAGTTTGATTTATCATGTTTCTAATGGTTTCATGTGTTAATTTATCTTCTCTTTTTATATAACATTTTTTATTTGTCTACTTTAATGAGCAGGATATGATTCCGACTATATGTATGACTGGACTATCTTAAAATATCAACAGCAGTCACAACAGACAAAGAAACAAAATCAGTCACCTGTTAGTACCTTCTTGGACTATTTTGAATAAATTGCTTGCTATAATGTATTCCCCTTGGGTTTGAAAATTTTCATCAAAGCTGCACTAGCCTCCCGCTCCCCCTTTTGCAAGTCTCTGATCTATTACTTTTCTTAATATCACATGAAATCAAAAGTTTGGTATTGGTATCAACTTTTCAATATATATATATATATATATATATATATATATAGAGAGAGAGAGAGAGAGAGAGAGAGAGAGATAGCATATCAAACAAGAACTGTTTTTATTATGAGAAATGGGAACTTATAATCTTTTTATTATGACCATACATGAGTGGGCAAGAATAAAAGTTAGTTAGTGTTCTCAAGAACTCTTGTAAAAGTGATGCACTTCATCCATATTTGATATGTTTCCTATGTACATTTTGTTAATTTAGATATTAACTTTCCTCATAATATTCTCTTACTCACTTGAGTATGTCGTGACAATTTTCAGCCTTCAGCTGCATTGCCTAGCAATCTAGAACCAGTAGTCGTGGGAAATCATAAAGGTAACTTCAATCTTGTATCATGTGATTGAAGGAATAATGTTTTATGATTTGCATGCTGAGATTTGTATTTTCTTTTAGATTGAATTGGAATTTAAAGACATTTTAAGCTTATTGAAAAAAATTAAAAGAAAAATAAATAATTGGTGCTTATACTTGAAGTGAGTTGGTTTCATTGTTTTCAAAACTAGACTAGTTATTGAATTAGCAAAATATTAGTACTACTTAAATTATACATAAAATAATATTGAAGAAATATAATATTATATCTTTATACTCTAAAATTAAAAATAAAACATTATATAGATTCTTAAAATTCTATATGTACATAAAAGTCTAAATCAAATATATCATAATGCTTAGATCTAAGTTTGAACATTACTCCGTTGCATTACTAAACAATCTCCATTATTAAGTCTACACCTAGAAGAAAAAAATGAAATTTATGGACACTTTAGTTTGATTTTTTGTTTTCTAACAAAATATCACGATGAAGTCATATGAAGCATGTTCGATCACCCATTTTAAACTGGTTTTTGATTGATTTTCCATTTTGACTGAATTTACTGAAGGTTGGTCTGGACCGGCTTTCAAAACATAGTTTAATTTTGATGGGACTTTGATGTCTCTCAAGCAAAACTTAATTACTTCTGATATGTCAAGATTGTGATCAATACACAATGTGGATAGATATTTCCCAATTAACTGTTTCAATTGTTATGGGATGGTGGGTGTCTTGTCGTGAACCTGGGCACATTAGTTGTTATAATAACGAGTTTTTGCTTACTGTAATAGTGTTGAGCTAAGATAGCCTTACAAGTGCAGTACAGTGTCTATGCTCATCCTCATGCCTATGCTTTACATTCCCTTTTCAGGAGCCAATGATTCAACTCATGTTAATGTAACAAAACTGTTAGCCAATCTTGAACTCCCAAGTGCACGTGTGCAGCCTAAGTTGTCTAATGCTCCGAATCTGGATGGCAGGATTCGGACTGAGAAACATGTAAGTGACCTCAATGAAATTTCTGCCACTGGCTTCCTTGTCTGTCCCTCTCTTAAAAATAAAAGTATACCCTCTATGAATTTCTTCCATATGGTAGCTTTGCTACTTTTTGCATGATCAGAGTTGTTAGTTCAATTATACTTGATCTCTTTTATTTGAATTTTATTTGGCTGAAGAAACTCATTTGGTTGAGCTGAGATAAATTTTTGCAGGGTGTGAACAATATTTCATCTACTTCCTCTGCCTTGCCCAAATCCTCGACAGGAAATGTCTCAAAACCAGAAAAGCCAACCTCAAACCTTGGTCGTGTATTTGGGAGTAATTCCCGTGTTTCAAGCGGCTGGATTCCTTCACTACGTCGAATTTCTTCCGCCAAATAGGTAAGAAAATCACTTATCTAGAATATGAGCTTGCTCTCAAAAATTTTGTCATAATTGTAGAATATTTAGCTCAGCCACTGAATTTGTTCGTTTGTTAGACAGGACTTTGAAGGTGTGACTTGGAGTCTTTTCACATTTGCTAATGTCATATACTCATTTCACTCCAGCGGAGGAAACATTAGATTAGACTGCAATGACAAAGCATGATACAGTGACCTAACGACCTAACAAGCATCCTGCACATTACACTAAATACCAAATGTATTGGCGGATACATTGTTGCTGAGTGAGATTGGTGCCTTCATTTTTAAGAGTTGGAAAGAGGGACAGAAAGGGAGTATGAAGGATATTGAAGAACGAGGCATAGTGGTGGATGTCCCACACGAGGCTCAGGGTAATTGGTTGGTAGGCCTTGAAATGTCAGAGTTTGGCGGGGTTGCATTTTATCTCTAATCATGATGAACCAAACATGTATGAGTGTGGGGAAGCCACAATCATTCTTATTGTACCTGTCTTTCTTTATTATTTTATTTTTTTCTATTCATCTTTGTTTTTCTTTCGAACATCCACTATACAAAATTGGTAGTCATTTCTTTGTACAGCTAGTTGTCAGCATGTGGATATAATCATATTGTACCTCAACCCCAACAGGGGAATTTATTCACGTGTCAAATCCAATTAATGGCTATTTGAAACGAAACGGAAAATGATTTTCTACGTATCCAATCTTTGGACTCGAGTCTGTATTCGAATTTCTAATAAACATTATAGTTAGGACTAGAAGAATTTTGACAAGAAGCAAACATTCAACAACCAAACTAGTAAAATGTAAAACCCTGCAAATACTGGTGCATGGTTCTGACAATTTTGAGAAAATGATGACATAATTAGACATAAGGAGTAAGAAGCGAGTGTATATGATGCCTTTGCTTTATTCTTCTTGTTGCCTATCTGCATCTCTAAATCGCCAATCTGCGTAGTTTACACATGTCTGTCATGTAATGGTCCCCTAAACGATCACCAACTGATTGATATGTCAGAATGACAAATTGTAGTAATCTAACAACTGTATATATGTTAGTAATCAGCACACAATTAAAGAAAAGATGTAGTAAAGGAAAGAAAAGCACCCTTTGTCGTATGCTTTAATTAACAAAGACAAAAGAGCCAGGCGGGAATACTGTAACCAAAAGAATGACTTTGTCTCCATGGCAAGGGAAACAGTGAAAACAGCCCAGACCAGTATGCGATTAAACTTGTAACTCGATCCAATTTGCAATGCTAATATGATGTTTATCAAGTTATCAAAATAAAGAAACAACGTACATATGGGTCCCATAACTCTACTTTAGAAAGTGATGGTGGTGACAAAGGAGAATCCTAGTAATGATGAACTCCGCTGCCATAAAAACAGGTCCTTAACTGTTTGTGCATGAACCACTATGAGATGGAAATCAAAAGCAACAGCTTAAGTTGGAGACAAGAACGAGTGGCCTTTAAATTGGGTCCTTTTGTTCAGCACTAAGAATCTTTTTCATTGTTTTCATTTTCCTTAATAAGAAACACTTAAAAACAACGTCACAATTTTCTTGTTAAATATCTCACTGTTGCTCACCAGTCCAATCAGCATCTTGCCCTTGCTTCTGCAATTCTGTCTCATGCTATTAGATTTTTCACCACCCGTATTTCCTGTCTTGAGTGATTGAGACCTCGTTAAGCTTTACAAGTGAGTGTAATATTAGTTGATATCTGTAAGAAGAAACTTAATTTCAAGACAACTACTGAATTTTCTGGTTCAGCATTAAAAGTTATCATGAGTATAAGAATGACAAAAAAGACTTGATGCTTCTTGAAATTCTTACGATCAAGCTTCATTCTGATTAAAGCACCTAACTCCTTTTCAATTTCAGTGAGCCCGAGAGCGTCTAACTCCAAGTGCTCAGTTCATGAGCTGGAGAACATAGATGAGAATGCTCCTGCAGATTGGACTGCATCATCCTGCCCCCCACCTGATACTCCGACTGAGTCAATGGAGTTCCTTGCCAGATCATGGAGTCTTTCAGCCATGGAACTCTCTAAAGCACTGCACAGCACCAACATTACGATCTCCACCGGTATAGAGATGCCACTTTCTTGCCCTTCAGGTCCCCAATTTGATACCAAGAGTTCCGCTGCTTCAAAGGATGTAAGAACATTGGCATGTTTAATTTGAAAGAGTAATTTAATTAGGCCATTAACTCTTCCTTTAGCTACTTTCTTCTTAGTTGGCAATGAAGCATGTAAACAGGCAATCATGCAAAATACTATTTCAGCTCTCTTAAAATGAACAATGTGTGTATGTCACACACACACACGCATGCCTGCAGGGGAAAGAAAAGGAAAAAGGAGATATTCTAAGCCCTCCAAAAAGGGAGTTTCAGAGGAAAGAAGTTTTCCATAACCTAGACATTTACCTTTTTTCCCGTGCTAGGATTCTTCAAAATAAAGACGAATCTAATATTGCTGTTTGTGTCTGTAGCTTTTACAATTTGATAACTTGATATTGGTTCTGAACTTCTGATTCAAGAATTTTTTGCAGTTATCTAACGGTTGTTATCCTCCAATTTCACCAAGAGACAGTAGCGAAAAGAAGGTACGTTACTGCTTCTTGTTAACTTATACGGTGATAAATATGATCAAGATGCGCAAGAAACAATTTAGCCCATTTTTCAGTTTCAATTAAGAAATTGAAGCCTGTCATTTGGCCTCAGCTTCCTTCGATGACTATCTGCTTTTTATTGTGCTCTAAATGAACTTAACTTTCACATTACAATTATCTAACCGTGCAAAATTTAGACAAGTCAATCATCAAGTGAAGTTGTTTTAATTTCCTTTTGCCAATAGCTGCAACCCTTCAATTACAAACAATCACGGGCCACAACTACAAAACTTGTTTTGCATTGGGAGTAAATCTTTAGTGTGTATAGATTAATAACATAGCAATATGTCGTGTGCAGGATTTACTTTTGCTCCATCAGGCACTCAGTACAGAACTCCTTTCCAGTCAAAACTTGCTCAGAAATGGGGTATCTTGCAATCAACTTAATGATTTCCTTCATCAATTATGCTTGCTCACGTGCCAACTCAATCTGCTGTTACTCAGTATTTGTTTCATTTATTTATTTATTGGTGCAAATTATTTCTCACCAGCTTTACAGGAGCTTGCTAAGAGGGAGGACGATGGGTAGGTGGTTGAAAGATCAAAAGGAGAGGAAAAAGCAGGAAATTAGGACCCATAACGCTCATTTGCATGCTGCAGTATCTGTGGCTGGTGTTGCTGCTGCTATTGCAGCGGTTGCAGCATCAACAGCATCACCTGAATTGCCTTATGCCAACCATAAGAACCCTCCTCCCCTTGCTTCTGCTGCAATTGCATCTGCAGCAGCTTTAGTAGCCTCTCACTGCATTGAGATTGCAGAAGATATGGGAGCTGAACATGACCAAATATTAACAGTAGTCAACTCTGCCATTAATGCAAAGTCCAATGGAGATATAATGACTTTAACAGCCGGAGCAGCCACAGGTATCAGAAATTAATGTTTATGTCTCTATTTCAGCCAGACTGAATTATGCTTTTAAACAGCATCACTTGGTAGTGATACTTAGGATACATGTAAGAGGCATAAACCAGACCACTTTAAATCTTCTGCTAAATCTGCGATGTTTACCAAGTCATCTTGCTCAAATGTAAAGAACAATAGCTATACACAATGAGCAACATAATGGTAAGAAAAAGGGGGTCCAAAACCTGCAAGCCATGGATTCATTTCACGTAGTTATTATCAGATATTAACACAAAATATAATGAACTAAATGCTTGGTATTGGCAGCCTTGCGAGGAGCTGCTACTCTAAAGGCAAGGCTGCAAAAGGGGCCTGGAGCAACTGCCATTCCTCTAGTTGAGGAAAAGTGTGATGAAAGCAGAGAAGCAAACATCTTGACAGCACTGGACCATGTCTTTAAAGGAGGAGATCTTCTCAAACGTACAAGAAAAGGTATGTTTACTAACATGTTTGCGATAATGGCTTAATAGAAACTTGGAAGAATAAAAGAAGAATGTCAAATTTTTAAAGAATTCAAATTCTAACATCGATAACCATGCTATTTTTTAATTGTTATTAACAGGAGATCTTCACTGGAAGCAAGTCTCTTTCAATATAAATTCAAATTTGCAGGTATTGCTCGAAAAAGTTTCATATGTTCATTAACAAATCATAGGTATGAGCTCCAACAATTCTAAGCTAGATACGAGACCATAGCTGACCAGAAAATTTTACTAATTAAAAAAAAAGTTAATATTGGACATGTCAATGCAAAGAAATGAGTTGCTGCTTCAAAATTATAACTAGAGGTAGAAACTAAGCATGGCCATCTTGCTATAATCTCATCATAAGCATATTTTAACTAGAGTATTCATGAAATTCAAGGCTTCAATCAGTCAATATTTTCCTAATAATGGCTCATAAATTTATATATCAAGTACGAGCTCAGATTTGTCTGAAATACTCACATGGCATGTATATGTAAGTTCATAAATGCCATTTGATGGAACATTAAATAGTCTCTCAGCTTAAATGACGAGACCGATTTATCCGATTCTCCAAAGATTCCCGCAATGGTGGGAGCCTCGTGAGAAATCAGAAATTGCGATGATGTAATTTATGTAAAACTATTAACTCCAAAAATCGTTTCATAGATCAAGGAGAATCAATCATAATTATAGATTGATACTATCTCCATTTAATAGCTATTTGAAATAATACAAAATGACAACAGGTTGTTGTCAAAATGAAAAGCAAGCTTATGGCAGGAACATTCACAAAAAAGAAGAAATGTAAGCAAAGTTTCTAACACAGCTCCTACTTATTTTATTATTATCAGTTGCCAATCTCTGTCAACAATATTAAGGTATGGTATGGCCTAAAATGGCAGATATAGTCACAGGCGTTTGCAATGATATCCCAGCTTGGCCTGGAAGAGAGGGGGAAGACATCAATGAAAAGAGGGCATATTTTGGAATAAAAACAACAGACAGGGCAATAGAATTTGAATGTGGAAGTAAAGGAGACAAACAGTTCTGGCTTGAGGGTATCCAGTATATGTTGAATTGCCGTGTCAAAGTAACATTATGAAAAAATATTAGGATTGACATTGGGATTGCTGTATATATGCCTTTTTTTTTCTTTCATTTTCCCTCTCACAGTGATTGGAGGGGTTACTTTATAAAGGTACACAGTTGACAGTACCGCTGTAAGGTTTCATTGACAAAATTATTGAGACTTTCGTGATTTCAGTGGAGATGTATGGAATCTAGAACCATGCTATTGTCACTCTAATTCCTTCAGAAAATCAACATTATCAACAAATGCCTGCATGAAATAATAGACAAGCCAAGTTATAAAACAAATAGAGGTTTGGAAGTTAACTTAAACATAATTGAAAGGATTCCATTAGTGAATTATGCTACCCAAGAAGTCTTTCAAGGTAAATAGAGAACGAGTGTTAGAGAGGTTTTGAAAAATGTGTCATGAGTTTTTCCTGAGTTCCATTCCACTCAGACCAACAGCATGTTGGCCATTAACTCATCAACTAAACATTTATGACTTCATTAGTGGATGTAAGCCAATTTTATTAGTGACAAGGTTAAAGTCTTAAGAACATGATAAAACACATATAAGCAAACGGATTAAAAGATCATACCAATTTCCAACCATCAGGATCCAAGCAAGCTACAATCTTGGTGTTGATACCAGGCAAAGGCCCAGGTTCTCGGATAATGTTCCCCCCACATAATTTGATAGCTTCAGCAGTCTTATATACATCATTTGTGCCTATTGCAATCTGTTTAAACATAAAATGTGTTGAATTCTTACAATGCATGCAGCAAACATCGGTGGAAGCCATAGAAACATCATAAAATTTCTCTTGAAAACAATAAAGAATAGAATTTACCTGAGCATAACCATTTCCTTTCTCATAATCAGTGACGCCATAGTTATATGTTAGTTCTAGAACAGTATTCTTGTCTTCAGGACCATAGCCCATAAAGGCTACTGTGTACTGGAAAAGAAAGCACAGCAGAGAATTATAACAGCAAGCAATTCACAACTACAATAATAAAAAACAAAAATTAGCATAAAATAGTCAAAACAGGAACTAAAACTTCCTAAATTTTCATCTGAACAGAAATCATTAATGCCTACCCTTCCAAAATAGTAAATAGTTTTCAAAAGGGACAAATCTAAGTTAATGTTCATGATTTAGGCAGGCCAATTATCAGACGGAATGCAATTGTTGATATGTTTCAATGACCGTTACGTTCAGTTGAATGTAAATCCATTGTGAGTGTAGTATTCAGTTGAACGTGCATTGAAAAATGTGTTTTAAGTAAAAAAAATAAAACACAAACACTATAGTCAGCATATACACTAACATTTCCTAATTAGGAAAACATTATAAATATAAGACAGTTATGACAGGAACTCAAATAGCCACGCATCTGATATGTAGCCACATGTAAAAGTTAAGTTACCTTGCGCTCACGATTGTCCTTCTTGCGGAGAAGTTTCATTCCAACAGCCTTGAAATAAAAGAAAGACAAGGAAAAACAGTAAGGTACTAGTGATGAAGGAACCTTCACGATAATAGTGAAAACCACTCACTTTTTCGTAGAAGGCTATGGCACGATCAAGATCGCCTACTCGAAGCATCACTTGGCATAGAGGTTCAGGTGTAGGTCTTCTCCCCAAAAGTTCAAACTTATAACCATCAGGATCTTCAATGAAAGCAATTACTGAACTGCCATCTTTAACAGGCCCAGGTTCCCTTGTAACCTTCCCTCCTTTTTCCTTTATTAGACCTACTCTCTTGTAAATCTACGAAGTTGCGGTGGAAAAACATAATAATCTTAATTGTCTCAGAACAAATCATAAAGCACAGATTAACACTAAGTGCCAACAAATGGAGATTAAAAGTCACTCTTATCCGCTACATAGTTGTTAAATTCGTATAAGAATTTTATTCCTTGGCCATAACAAAAGCAATGAACAACACACTTTGACTACAGACTAAATTATTTTAAGATTAAGACTTGGAACTCAATTGCAACCAAAAATATATAAACTACAAAGAATTTGAAAAATCAAAATAACAATTGGATATAAGTTGGTTTTCCACATTCAAGGAAACCAAAACCCAGAATCGATTAATGAAAATCAAACTAATTCTGTGCTTGGCATTATATATGCAGTTGCAGTTGTAAACACTAATCCATCGTTATCTTTCATAAATGACTTACATCTTCAACAGCAACACCAAAATGACCAAAGCCACTTCCAATATCATAGTTATTCACTCCATAATCTGTAATCTCCATGAAATAGTAAGCATGATGGGAAGCGATTTTGTGATAATGTTCAAGCATGCACAATAATTAATTACACAGAAAGTGGCATTCGAATCTGAACTCACTGTAGGTAAGTTCAACTGTAAAATTAGAATCTTCTGGCCCATATCCAAGAAAAGCGTTAGAATATCTGTCTTCAGGTATATCACGTTTTCTCAGTAGCTTCATGCCAAGGCATTCAGTGTAGAACCTGCATCCCACAATGTAATTAAATTTCACACACATTTACATTAAAGTATCAGTGAAGTATCATTTCCCAAATTCAAGAAATAGCATACTTTATAGTCTTCTCCAAGTCTCCAACTCGGTACACAACATGTAGAAATCTTCTGTTGTCATTTTTAACCCAATCAAACAACTTTTTCTCTGGTTGGGCTACATTTTCTGCAGCAATAGCTTCTGGTACTTTTAACAACTCTGATCCTTTTACCCCAAATAACTTAGATTGTGGGAGAGCTGAATAACCAAATTATATAGCAGAGAACCAAGTTATAACTAATGTCATGAAGGGTTTGTGAGTAAATGGAGAAGAAAAGTACATATACCAATACCACCACCACTGGTGACGAGTTGAAAGAGAGCAAGTCTTCGTGAGGTAGATGATGAAGGGCTACATGGTCTCAGCATTGAAGCAGCTGTTAACCTTAAGGATGATGCCATTGCTAATCAAACAATGTTCCCTTTGTCAGTAAATCACAGTGTCACACTCCACCCAACATGTGTGTCTCTCCTATGTGTAGGAGTCGTAACATGGTATGCTCTTATTGGTTCTTGCTATATCCAAATCCAACAACTTGCATGTTATGTGTGAGGGCCACAATTTTCAGACTTTCATTTTATTGGGCTCTTTTTTCTGATCCATGTTAGATTGGACCATTGGCCCGCTACAATTAGAGGCTTTAATCCATTTGGGCTTAGCTGCTGCATGAATTTTGTGTCGTTTATGAACAGTCAGTGACATATTTAAATCCTCACTTTAATAATTAATAACATGCATTTAAATTAATTAATTATATTTAAATAGAAAATATCTCATAAATAATATATTTAAAAAAAATTACTTAAATAAAATATATGTAAGTCTATTTACTGCATCGGTTTACTTTTCTTATTCAAAATTCAATAATGAGACGATATAATAATATGGTTATATTCCTTTCTTTCTTTCTTTATTTTTTTTTCTTTTTCTTCATTTATTTTATTTTTTCCTCTGTACATATTTTTCTTTTTCTTTTTCTCTCTTGTTCTTCTATCACTCATCTTATTCTTTTAAATATAAATACTAAATCAAAATTTAATAAAATGAATTTTTATTATTTCTAAAAAATAAAATATTTAAATTATCCAAAAATACTATAACTTAACATATTATATTTATTATAAATTTGAGGTGTTACAAGTTGCTATGTTATAATTATTAAGAAAAAATTAAATATTTATTTTAAAGTAAGTTTTTAATAATTTTTAAAAAATGTCTATTAATAATTATAAATCAACTTAATTATAACTAAATTAAATAAGAAATACATTTAACTTATTTGATATTTTTTAATTAGATAAATAATTAATTTACTATAATAAAATAATTTAAAATTATTTATTGTCATAATAAATGATTAGTTGACATTGTTTTTAGTTTTGATTATCAATTTTTTTATTAAATGTCAATACATTAGTTTTAATTAGAAGAATAAATAGGAGAGGAGAGAGGAAAAGAAGAGACGTGAGATATAAAAGAGAGAAACAAAGAGTGTATGAGGGAAAAGAAAAAATAAAATAAAAATAATGAGAAAGAAAAAAATCTACATATAAACAATAAATGAGTGAGTTAGATAAATAAATTAATAAAGATGTTAGTTAAGAAAATTTTCTTTTGAATATTATAAATATAATAAAAATGCAAAGACTAACCATTCTGTCTACCAGTTCAGTATCTGTAAATCCATTGACCTAAACAAGGGTGATGCATTGGAGTTATTAAGAAATGATTGTTCTCAGTTTCTTTTAAAGAAAAACTGGTTCATTGAAAATATAAAATTGATGTGCAAGTGCATGTGGGTACGATGCACATGACAGAAAGAGAAGAGAAAGGAGTGGCATGGCACCACTGTCATCATGGAATAAAGATACTAATAAGTAAAGTAAACAATTGATAATATTTAATTTAATTTAATAAAAGTGTTATCGTGCATGATTACGTCAACAGGAGTTTTATCGTCCCAGATATTAAGTTATATAATTTTATTTTTTTGTTTAGTAGTGGAGGGAAATAAAGTTGCTTTTATAACTAGTGGAATGCGCATGCAACCTCAAGTTGGATTAGTAAAATAAACTTTCAACTCATGGAAACTAATTTTTTTTTCCCTTATTGAGCTGTGTATAATATAAACTATATTCACCTTTGATATATTGAATAATATTTTACTGTTTTACAATTTTCAAATATTGTAGTTGACAAAGTCTTAAAAGAAGGTGTTTTTACAAATAAAATAACAATTAAGAATTTATTAAATAAGAAAGAAAGTTGAAATTTTTTATGGTTTTTTGAATAAATTTGAGTTAATAGCAAAAGGTGTTGCATATTTTATATCTGTAACAACAATAATGGAGCAGCATGTGCAATAATAGAATAGTGGTCACCCTGCACTTGCGAGCAATGAAAGGTTAGGCATAATTATTAAAATCTATTTTATAGCGTATAAAGTTGCTGGTCAACGGGTGAAATCCAATACCAAAATGATACATTGACACTGGTAGTAGGAAATGGCACTCAAATAATACCTAAAAGAGAGAAGAAAATATAAATATTATAAGGGTTAAGATGTGATAGAGAAGAGAGAAGAGAGAAAGAGAAAGATTGATGTTGATGTTGACAATACGTTTGAACAACATGGACATTCATGTATGATTGCTGAATCCAATAGCACTGCGAACCTAATTATTAATTAAGACGCTTTTTCTTTCCGAATAAATTGGCACCACATTTATCATCACAGTGAAGTTACAATTGTCTGTGGGAGTGAGAAGCCATGGCAGACATCGCTTTTGGAAGCTCCGACGAGGCCAGTCAGACAGAATGCATTCAGGCCCTCGTCGTTGAATTCATCGCCACCTTCCTCTTTGTCTTTGTTGGCGTTGCTTCTTGCATGTACGCTGGTACGTATCCAACACAACACAACCTTTATTACTTATATATATATATATATATATATATATATATATATATATATATATATATATAAAACTCTTTTTTCTTGCTCTGATGTACATAATATAAATATATATCAGAGAAGCATGGTGGCGATCAACTACTGGTGTTGTTTGTTGTGGGCATGGCACATGCATTTGTGACGGCCGTAATGATCTCAGCCGCGCACATCTCCGGTGGCCATCTCAACCCCGCCGTGACACTTGGTCTTCTTATCGGTGGTCACATCACCGTGTTTCGTTCCATGCTCTATTGGATTGATCAAATACTTGCGTCTACAACCGCATGTTATCTCCTTTACTTTCTCACCGGACAGGTACTCAATCTAATTAAATCTCTCATTTTTATTATGATTATTAATATCAATAAAACAAACATTTTTATTGATTATTTGATCATTTGCAGCTAACTCCAGTTCATACGTTAGCAGTGGGAGTGGGAACTTTTCAAGGAATAACGTGGGAGATTGTGTTGACCTTCGGTTTGTTGTTCACTGTCTATGCGACTATGGTGGATCCAAAGAAGGGATCAAATACTGGAATAGGCCCAGTTCTAGTTGGGTTTGTGGTCGGGGCCAACATCATCGCTGGTGGGGGCTATTCTGCTGCTTCCATGAACCCAGCCAGATCTTTTGGGCCTGCCTTGGTTTCTGGCAACTGGACCGATCATTGGATTTACTGGGTTGGGCCTCTCAGTGGTGCTGCCCTTGCAGGTTACGTCTATGAGACCTTCTTCATTGACCGATCTCACGTTCTTCTTCTTCGTGTTGAAGATAACTGAATAATAGGTTTCGCAACTACGACTCTGTTCGTAAATTATATCTGCACTACTAGTTTCATCGTCAAATAGTTTTTTTTTTTAATAGTTTATTTGCAATTGACAAGTTTTCTTTTATGTATGATAAATTGTCAATCACGACCTTTCTCTCAAAATAAAATAGCTACGACACTTTCTGTAGAAGAACTTCATGAATAATTGCTGCATGTATATAAATTTCTTTCCTATAATTTTTTATCCGCAAATATTTCTTTCGCATATAATTTATTCCTTAGAGATTTCAAACTCATGAAAGAAAATTCTGTTGGAATTTTATAAGGAATTTCGTGTGAAATTTACCTTTTCAGGAAATTTATGCAAATTTAAAGAAATAAATAACATTTACTTCAAAATAACTTTATATTTGATAAAATATTCTTAGATTTATCTATATTATTTTTTAAATATCTATAAAGTTGTATTTAATTAGTAAAAACTAATATTCATTTAAAAAGAATTTTGAAAACATAACTACATCTCTTTGAAATAATATATAAATTAATAAAATACATTTCAAAATAAATTGAATGGAATCTTTCTTAATTTATTGTAACATATATGACTTAGCTATTTTGTGTGATATATTAATATCGATCGCAGATCAAATTTACACTAACCAATCAGAAGAGTTTTAATAATTTGAAAAGATGAGGCAATCCTTCAATAAAAGAAGTGTTTTAAAATAAATTAAAATAATGGGACTAAACTTGATTTTTTTTCATATGTTAACTGTTATGTCCATATCCAAATTCAAATCATGTTGGAGGTTATAAACTCATGCCTATAGGATGTAAATCAAAATTATACCTTGCTTTTTTTTCTCTAAAATTTGATATGAATTGTTAGTATTTTAGGAAGGATAAGAAAGATGGTTTGATATTTAGTATTGAGATTTGTGTAGAAAATAGTTTTTAAAAAGAAGTGGACAAATAGGAAAAGGTTTGTACGAAAGAAAATAATAATTGATCTTGAAAGTGCTACAAGATATATGGGAGCTTGTATTAGATTTTTCACTCACATTATATAAGTGGCATTGCCTATTTATAGGCTTGATCCACCATCTCCTAAATATTCTACATAATTCTAGATTTTCTTAACTCTAGAATTATCTATCTTCTTATTTCAAACATTTCTATAATCTTATAAGGATTCTAGATATTACTCATATGAAATTCTTAATTCTAGTAACATCTAGGATTTTATATTTTAGATCTTTCTAGAATTTGTATCATCTTTCAACACTCATCCTTAATGCAAATTCTTGTAACTCTAAGCATGAAACGTAATTGTTCAAATTTGGCTCTTGGTAGTGTATTGGTAAATATGTCTGCAATTTGATCTTCTGTAGTGCAATACTCAAGTTGAATTTGTTTAGTCGCTCCAGCCTCTCTGATGAAATGATATTTAATAGCTATATGTTTTGTTCTTTGATGATGGACTGGATTCTTTACCATTGCTATCGCTGATTTGTTGTCGCAATAGATAGTAGTTGGTCCATCTTGTGGTTCGCCCATTTCTTCAAGTATTCTTTGTAGCAATATTGCTTGACTTGTAGTTTTAGCAACAGCTACGTATTCTGCTTCTGTTGTTGATTGTGTCACAGTTGCTTGCTTCTTCTTGTAGAGGCGTATTTGGATCTCTTGTGTCTTCTTCAGGTTGTTGTACTGGAGTCAGGATGTTGCTTCTAACAATTTTTTCTTATTCCCAATTCCAAGAAGCATTTTCGTCAACCTCAACATCTCGACTAATGATGAGTTTCTTTGTTTGTAGGTTGTAGACTCGATAACATTTTGATTGTTGGCTCCAAGAATATTCCTCTTGTAGTTTTGTCTTCAAGCTTATGCCTCCTCTAATAAGGAACATATATGTAGCAAATTGATCCAAATATTCGTAGATGTTTAGCTAATGATTTTCTTCCACTCCAAGATTCAATAGGAGTCTTGTTTTGAACTGCCTTAGTTGGGCATCTATTGAGTATATACACAGCAGTATAGACCGCTTCTATCCAAAACGTATTTGGCAAGCCTTTCTCCTTCAACATTGATCTCGCCATTTCCATTTCTCTCTTATACACCATTTTGTTGTGGTGTATATGCAACTGCAAGTTGTCTTTCTATTCCTTCATCTTCACATAATTTATCAAATTTGTCGAAGGTGTACTCTTTGCCTCGATCGCTCCTGAGCACCTTTATCTGTTTTCCACTTTGCTTTTCGACAAGGGCCTTAAATTTTTTGAATATTCCAAAGACTTCTGATTTTGCTTTAATGAAGTAGACCCAAGTCATTCTAGAAAAATCATCAATGAAAAGAATGAAGTACCTGTTGTTATTAAGCGATGAAGTCCTCATCGGTCCGCAAATATCTGTGTGGATTAACTCCAACAAGTCTTTTGCTATCCAAGTATTTCCCGTAGAAAATGGTAATTTGTGTTGCTTTCTCAGAAGACATCCTTCACAAGCTTCACTACTCTTCTTAAGGCTTGGTAGATCTCTCATCATGCCTTTTTGATGTAGTATCTTTAAGACATGAGTATTGAAATGGTCAAATCTACGATGCCATAGCCACGAGTCATCAACTTCTACTTTCATGGCAATGTTAGTTCCTCGATTGAAGCTTATAAGAAAACTTCTATTTCTCTTTTCCATTTTTACTTGGTTAATCTCTAGATTTTTCTTATCATAGATAGTGCATGTATCTCTTTCGAAGTGAAGAGTATATCCTTTCTTCATCATTTGACCAATACTTAAGAGATTTTCTTTAAGATTGGGAACTAGTAAGACATCATTGATAAATCTCATACCTTTCTTGGTCTCCACCATAACACCGTCTTTTCCTTTTGACTCTACCACGGTGCCATTTCGCAATCGCACTTGAACTTTGATGGAGTTATCAATTTCTTTGAAGATGCTTGAATCATTCATCATATGGTTACTACATCCGCTATCTAAATACCATCTTCATTTTGATTCATTGTCAGAACATCCCGTAGCATAGAAAAAATGTTGTTATCTATCTTGTTCTTCAGCAAAATTTGCTTCTTGATGATTTTTGTTGCGACACATTTTCTCCACATGTCCAAATTTCTTACAATATTGACATTGAGGTTTTCCTCGATGCCAACAATCTTTTTTCAAGTGATTTGTCTTTTTGCAAGTGCCACATAAGGATATTTTCCTTGAATAGTCTTGGAAAATTTCTAGAGTTTTCCTTATTCCTAGAAAGTTCTCTATTAATTTTATTTCCTCCATTCTGAGATCGTAATTTTAGTTTTGATTGAAAGGCATTTTCAACTGAGTCTTCTTCACACCTTTTCAATCTTTGTTCATATGCTTCAAGAGAGCCTATTAGTTGTGTCACCGATAATTTAAATAACTCTTTTGTTTGTTCATTGCAGTTGCAATTGCATCATATTTTTGGGGAATAGAAATTAGAATTTTCTCAACAATTTTTTTGTTAAGAATATTTTTCCCATAGACTCTCATCTGATTAACTATTTCTTTTATTCTAGAATAATAATCTTTTATGATCTCAGATTCAGTCATTCTTATTAACTCAAATTCTCTTCTCAGTGGATGAAGTTTAATATTGCGTACCTCATCGCTTCCTTGAAACTCCTCCTGAATTGTATTCCAAGCTTCCTTTGCACTTGTGGCACCCATTATTCTTGGAAAAATAGTGTCATCAATGACTTGCTAAAGAGTGAATAATGCCCTTGAATCTTTTTGTTTGTTTTCCTTCAACTCCTTCCTCTGGGCAGCTGTAAGAGTTGAGATGTCTTCTGGAATAGTGAACCCATCTTCCCCAAAGATCTTAAGAACAAAAAAATGTCCTCATTTTGACTCTCCAAAAATCATGATTTTCTCCCTTAAAAATAGGAACTGGAATGGATGATGTTTGGTTGGTAGTGGCCATAGGTTGAAATTTTTCTTTTGGAAGTAATGTGTAGTGGGATTGAGTTTTTTAAGGTAATCGAAAAATTTTCTCTACGTCCAGTAGGTAACCAAACGTAGATCTGATACCACTGTTAGTATTTTAGGAAGGATAGGAAATATGGTTTGATGTTTAGTAATGAAATTTGTGTAGAAAATAATTTTTAGAAAAAGGTGGACAAATAGAAAAAAAGTTTGTATAAGAGAAGATAATAATTGATCTTGAAAGTGCTACAAGATATATGAGAATTTGTATTAGATTTTCCACTCATATTACATAAGTGACATTGCCTATTTATAAGCTTGATCCACCATCTCCTAAATATTCTACATAATTCTAGATTTTCTTAACTTTAGAATTATCTATTTTCTTCTTTCAAGAATCTTCTAAAAATTCTAGATATTACTCGTATAAAATTCTTAATTCTAGTAACATCTAAAATTTTATATTATAAATCTTTCTAGAATTTATGAATATGATCCCTAATTTCTTCAGCTGCAAATCTTCAAACATAGGATAGTGTTTTTCCTTTTATAATAAATTATTAGTTAATTATTGTTAAATTTAAATTTTTATAATTGGACCCCTTCACCGTTCACCTTCCCGTACGTACGTTGCACAAGTGAAGCTGCTGTCACGAAGTGGACCATTAATGGCAAGTCTGTACTCTGCAGTAGTTTGTTGCATTCCTCGCTACCTCTCCACGTATGACCGTTCGTACGTAACTCTTAATAAATCATCAAAGTACACAAACACACAGACATTACTACGCAATACTGCACTCATTCATTTTATTCATTTCTACTGTTTTATAGGTTAATGTAAAGTGAAAGCAGACGTTAAAATTTTAGAATCGTTTAGCGTAAGAGCAAGAAGATATTACAAGAGATGAATGAGACATGCTTGCTTGTAGTTATTCTTATTGATTAATGATGATTATTAATGACTAATTAATTACATTAATCCTACTGAAAATAACTACCTTGAAGCTTCTTCTCGACCCAGGAAGGTGACAAAACCGGGCTCATATCGTAGTCCCTAATCTTCACCCTTGTGGCTTCACAGTGTTCACTGTAGTCCATGCACATTTTTTCATCCGGCAAAACCTTAATCCTCCACACCTTGAATGTTTGGTCCAAACTAGCACTATACACCAAGAATCCCATGACAACCTTTTCCATCTCGAGGCATGCAGCCAAGCATCTCACTGGTCCTCTGTGTCCATCCAAAACCGTCAAACACTCGTGGTAGCAACTACCTTCCTCTCTCCTCCATACCCTTATTGTGGTGTCTTCTGACCCACTGAATATCATGTTCCCTACTGTGGCTAAACAAAGAACCGCGAAACGGTGCCCCTGCAAGAACCCTCCGTGGTTGAACCTGTAGCACAACCTTTCCTTCTCCCAGAAGTTTATCATCCCATCGGAGGACCCCGAATAGAGAAAGCAGTGGTTGAACGAGCAGCTCAATGCAAGAGCATTGACGGGGGAGGGTTGGAATTTGAGAGTCATGGTGAGAGTGTGCGAGTCTTCAGTGTACACCCTTCTCCATATCTTCACCGACCCGTCCGAGGAACCGGTGAAAAGACAACCATCGTCTTGGTTCACCAATATGGCGTTCACGTTATCCTCGTGCGCAACGAACGAGTCAACGCATTTTCTGTCGGAAACACGCCACGCCTTCACTGTTCTGTCGTGGGAGCCGGTGTACAAGAGGCCCTCGGAGTGGTAATACGCCATGCAAGACACCGAATCTTTGTGCTTCGGCGTGTTCTTCCCTCTCGAGGGGAACATGAGGATCGAGGTTTTTCTTGGAAGAGTTCCCAGTTTCTTGGACTTGAAGCTATCTGAAACGGTGAAGGTCCATATCCTTATCTTGTGGTCCTTGTGCGTGGAGAAAAGCATGTTGCTATAAGCGAGAATGGCTCTCACCTCACCGGAGCTTGCTTTGAGGTAGCCTCTGTCCATGCAATCTGGCTGCTTCCACACACGGATTCTGCTGCTGTTGGAGCCGGTGAAGACCAAACCCTTTGAAGCTGCAATTGCGTAGATGTTACCTTCGTGGCGGTGGAGCGAAGCGATGCAGTGGTAAAGCAAAGAAGGTGAAGGGGTTGGGAGAGGGGAAAGCGTCCATGGTGAATCTGGCATGATAGGGAACATGCCATCAGATGAAGGCCCGGGGGGACTGAACTGAAGGTCTTGTTCGCTTATCTCTCTGTGGTTCTGGAGATGAAGATGAAGAGGGGATCGTGGTGGTTCTGGCTTTTCGGTGTCCATGAGGCTGAGGAGAGTCGTCTTGCCATAGAAATCCATGGCATGGTGGGAAGAATATGTGCTTGAAATTAAAGAAACAAAAGTGGTAGCTATAGTAGTAATTGGGACTCTACAATTATCCCTCAGCGTTGGGCTATAACACACATGATACGGGTTTGGACGATGGGTGGAGAGTATTTATTAAGGTATAAATGTTTCTCAACTGTTCTCTTATTGTCGTGCTCCTTTCTACATGATTTCACCATGTGACCCCTCTCTTTGCTTAATTTTTCTTCTTCTTTCCCATGTCCACAAAATTTCTGACCAACCAGTTTTAGCACCCTCGTCTTACAACTGCACAAATATTTACACATGTTATATACACTCAGTTAGCATCTTTACATAGTTAATATTCTTGAGTTGAAAAATATTATATTATATTTTAACATTTTTTTTTACTTAACACCCTCCATTCAAAGCATTCAATCTTAATCTCCTAATTTTCAAATACATACACTTCCCATTCAGATACATCCAATGTTACAAAAGTGAAATAGATCCAACTAATAAAAAAAAAAAAAAAAACTTAAAATTCTTATCCAGACTTACTAATCTCCTTCTTATATGATTTATTATTTACCTATCTTCATTTTATCCAAGAAAGATTGAGAGTAAGGCTTTATTCAGTCGAGTTTTTCTCCAATATATATTTGTAGCTTGGACAAGTTCATATCATTTATAATTCGAAAAAAAAAAAAATGATAATCAAGTAGCAGGAGTTGGATCCAAAGCCTCTGAACTAATGGAAATTCCGATGATTGAGATGATGATACGTAGGAGGAAAAGGCCAATGAAACGAAAAGCTGAGAAATTTCAAGTATTCATGATAGCACAATCATAAATACCGAGGACATGGAAAAATACTAAATATGAAACAATGGGATTGAATCGGTGCAAACGATAACACCCTAAGATGAAAATAACAGAAAATAATATTATCAATATACAATAAATTAATAAAAAAATAAATTTCAATATTTATACTTTTTTACCTAAGGAGATATGACAGAATTATTTAAATACAAAACAACAACCCAAATAAATATGCCAACCAGCTAATCATAACCAAAACAATTTTTCAGTAAAAGCACCAAATGGATTTTCGAATACTCTTTTATAAGAAAACATTTAATTTTGCATTTCAATTATTTTATATATATATATATATATATATATATATATATATATATTGTAATTTCTAACATTAAAGAGAGTGATTTAGAATGAGGTGTTTTGTGAATTTGATGGCTTGGTTGGGCATTTGTGGTAGCCATCCACTGGATTGTGGTATGCCCTAGGTAGAGAGGAGAGGAGAAAGGTGGAGGTATGAATGGGGGTAGTTCTTTCTCATCATTATCATCAAACTCATCAGAGGAACCTTCTCATTTCTATTGGTATGGCTGGTAGAATTTTAATGTTCACTATTCAATTTCCTAGATTTATTGTTTACCACATTCCACGTAACTTCTTCTCACACCCGTTCATTTATCTTTAATATGTTGGAATATAAATATCACACTAAAAAATTAACACCATTATCACTTCTTTGCCATATACATAAAAAAAGATATATATATTTTTTTATTTTATCACGGTTCTTATATTCTTCTGTGGTTTCTTTCTATTTCTTAATCATAAAAAAATGTTGCAAAAAATGTGATTGGGTGTTGAGTTATATGCTACTACTAGAGTATTCTGTGGTGTGAAGAAAGAACAGTGGTGATCGGTGTCAGAGTTGGGTGGTTCGGTTCCAACTGTTTAAGTTAACAGTTGACGGCATTTGATGCGGTGGATGATAGTACATTCAAACAATTTACATTTTCATAAAAAAAAAAACGAGTATTTTTAAAAATTGTAAGGAGTAAATCGTAAAAATTGTATAAATGTAAAGTTAAAATAAAAATATTTAACATGAAATTATGATCTTTGTAAATTAACTGCACAGTACGAAATTTTTCGTACAATTGAATAACGAATTTGATTGGTTTCGTTATGAGTCGAGGAATAAAAAAAAAAAGAGGTTGGGCACGCTGTTTGTACTTTGTGTTACAGTTTTCATTATAAAAAATGTACTATTTACTAATTTTCTTTCTATATTTGTCATGGAGTGAAATAACTGTAGCTAGAGCCTCTAGTTTCTTATGTTTACTAATGACAAATAAATTTTTTTTTCCAATGTTTTGAAAATGCCATTAATGTTCTCAGCAACCAGCATGGTGTGTTATTATAATTTATAAGGTGAGAGATGTTAGCAATATATTTTAGATTACATACTTACGAGGATCTAATTCTTTATTTAATGGATTACTCTTATATCATATAACTGAACCAATAAAAAATGTGTTCAAGATTATTAAATAATTTTTTATACTTTTAAAATTGGTTCATATTGAAATTTGTATCTCAATTTTTTCAATGATTTTTATATTCAACACTCAATAAATATGTAAATTTGGTTATTAATTTTATTATTCTTAAATTAAATTAACATCGTTAATATGTAATCATTTTAATTAGATATTTATAATTATATGGCTACCATATCGTCAAATTTAAAATGAAAACAAGTTAATTCAAAATAACAAAATAACCATTTAAATCAAAATTACATATTTATTAAATGTTGGATATATATCAAGATTATTAATTTTTTGAGATACGAATCAATTTTATATGAAACAAATTTAATTTTGACCCATATTCATCTTTCACTTTATTTGGAATTATGATAGGGCCAGGGTCGTGTTCAAAATAAATGGTCCAAGGAAAATTTTAAGTCAGAAGAAGATGATAAATTACAATATATATATATATATATATATATATATATATATATATATATATATATTATGAATGTCACAAATATTGTATTCTTCAAAATATATTACACACATACATAATTGATTATATATATGAAAATATATTATAATAAAAATAATTAAATTGCTTAAGATCATTATGATTTTTAAACTTTAATTATGTTTTTAATTTTAATAATAGTGATAACTTTGATTTTAGTTGTTATTATTTTAAAAGAAAATTAGTCTCTCAAAATTGAAAAAATATTAGATTCTAAACACTAAATTTGAAGAACTAAAAATAATTTTAAATATTAAATATTAAAAAACCATTTTTACTTACTATTTTTTATTTATTTGAAAGAACCTAAACTATAAGCATCTTAAATTTTAGAAACTTAGTTTTCAAAATTAAAATTTAAAACATAATAATACCATCCATTGTCCATCAAATAATATGAAACAGGTCAAATTAATCTATAACTCAATAATTTGTCCTATATTATTAATTAATGTTATTGAATGGATCAAGACATTGTTTAGAAAAAAAAATCATATAGTAGCTTATGAACAATGATGAAGGAAAAAGACAATAATTATTTAAATATAACATATTTAATAAAAGATATGTTAAATTAATCACAAATTAATATTAATTAAAAGTTGAAATATGATATTTTATCATTATTTACAATTTAAGATAAGATCATTATGATATTACTGTTATATATAAAAAATTGATGTGATAATAGATTTCAGTAGTTAGTTTTATTGAGTGATAGTATGAAATTAATGTTGAGGGTGGAATTTACATGTTGGTTCAAGTAATAACAGGATTTGACTAGGCTTGGTTTGTGTGTGATCTTGTAGGCATGACGTGACGATTTAGTAATTGGAAAAGTATCCATATATAGACTTAACATTTTTATTTATGGAGACAATGTGGATGTTAATTCATCAAGAGAATATTATTTTCATTTATTTTTTTATTATCAAAGTTCTTTTATTTTTTCCCTTTTTTATTGACGCCAACTTGTATATTACAGAGAGTGAGGGCAAGCAAATTTAAACACAACCAAATAAGACCTATTTTTTTATATTTAAAAATTCTATGCATATCACTAATTTTATGGTCGCTAAAATCGTCAAACATTTGAAGCTAAAGTTTTGCGTTCTAATTCGCCCCAATTCTTTTCTTGTTTCGCAAACCATTGGACCGTTCTTCGCGCAATTGGCAACCAAACTCTCCCCAATCTCTCATTAGATGTCACACTTTCTCCGATCCTTTTCTCCTTCCTCATTTGTGCAAACCTCGGAACATTGGCAATCTCGGACATGCACCTCTTCTCGGCAGAATTCAGTGCTGTAAACGAGTTTTCTTCCTCATCACAACTCCAACTCCTGTGAAGCTTTCCACTGTCTTCGGTTGCTTCCAAAGAACAGAAGCAGAATCTCGTGCTGCAAACATCATTAAGCATCTCGCTGTTCAACGACAACAGGTCCGAAGAATTTATGTCACTCCACCTGCTCCTCGTAAAAACATCAGTTATTACTATTTTATGGTTTGTCACGTGAACATGTTTGTTCCACTTTGTGGCACTACCGCCGCCACTGCTATCACCAATTAGAAGTTCTTGTTTCTTGCAATTCCCCGCGTCCCTAAAGCATCTTCTCGACGATCCTCGATGAGAAGGCTCTCTGTGAACGATGATTTCAAGGTTTGGCTCCTCCGTGAGATTTGAAGGAACTCGGAGGAACCTTGAGCTTAGGGAATAGTTGAGGTTCTCGATGTCCCCTGCTTCAACCCTGCATCTACAGAGGGGACATGTGGAGTGGCTTTCAAACCACTTGTCAATGCAATTCATGTGGAAAGCGTGCTTGCACTTTGGAAGCAGTCTTAGAGTCTCTGTGTCCTCGAATTTGGAGAGACAAACGGTGCATTCTAGGCCTTCTTTGGACCCCTTGAGGGATGAAAACGTGAAGAAAGGGAGCGTTTCAACCACTTCTTTGTCAATTCCAGAAACTCTTGATCTTGATCGAGTTGGGTGAAAGTTTTGGAGATTTGAGTTTCGGGTAAAAAGTTGATGAGGGTTGACTCGACAGAACTTCACATATAAAAGTAAGATAAGTGTTATGGCAAACAAGGTGGAGAGCACTGCTATCACAATCCCCTTGCTTGGATGAATGGTTTGAGGGAGTGGCGGCAGGTTCTGTTCATCGTCTTGCGATTGAACATTGAAGGGGAGAGAAAGAACCATCGTGAACATTACTAGCAAACGGTTCTTAAAGGGGTTGTTGAGCTTGAGGGTGTTACACATCTTCTGAAGTGGAGATGTTACCATATTTTGGTTCTCTCTTTTTTTGATGTTTTCTTCCTACATAAACATTGGTGAAAGGAAATCAGAAATGGCTGCTAATACATGATAGGCATGGCATAGCATATATCCAATGGTGTTAGTCCAAGGGAAGCAGACAAGTTCTAAAGCATTCAATTTTGTTTTTATTGTTTATTGCTTTTGCAGTGCTTGTCTTGGACAATTAAATAGAATATCTTCTGGTAGATGAAGACAAAAGCATGCATCAGCTTGGAGCCCTGTCTCTGACTGAAAAATGTGTTTATGATTGACATATGGGCCATATGTGATTAGCATATGTGGTTGGTTTCTGTTAACCATTACCCCAATTGACACTGCTTCAATCTTTATCGTTTACTTTTTTTGTATTGAAACTTTGTTTATTGGAGAAAATAAGCCATGCTTATGCAAACTCGACAAGTGCCTATGAAAAGAGAGTTAGAGTGTCATTTTTAGGGACTCAGAATCAGGTAATCTCTCTCTCTCTGAATGTTAACTTATCTTTTTGAACTAACCTTTCATGAAATGAAATTTCCAACCATCATCATTATTAGGAAAAAATATTTTGAGAACCCATCTTTACAAACATTCTGATAATTTTAAAATATTATTTTTTTTATTAATAAAGAGAATGAAATAAGATAAATAAATAATAATATAAAAATTTAAAAATGAGTTGTTGAATAGATATTTTTATCTTTTTTATATATTAAAATATAAGGATTCTTATGATTAATTAAAGAATTAATCAATTACCCAAACAATATAATCACGAGAACTTGTAGATCACCTAACTGCAGGTTTCTTATTCAACAACTCTTCTCCCTAACTGAAAATTTGAATTCTTAAATAATTTTCAAAGTAAGCACTAGATTCAAGATTCTTCATGATCTCACAGTAATTGGTTTCTTGAATATCCTCCATCGTTACGATTTATTCCAAATTTAATTATTTTTCTATTCACCCAATTGTTAGTAGAAGTCCAAGATCAACAATAAATGGTTAGCTTATAATTCTAAACCCTAAATTGAAAGACAAGTAATCAATTTTAAACAAATAAACTTAAATAATACAATATTAAGGTTATGATTAGTCTTCTCTTAAGTCAAAATTACTATAAATATTAGAAGAAAAAGACTATAAAGTTGGGATCAACTTGTAATTTTATTTCTCAATTGTTAGTTTGTTATTTCTTAATAAGAATAACAAGTCAACTGTAGTATATAAATAAAATTGTGTTATGTAATTGTTTTTTAAATATAAAAAGAAATCATACTATAACAACTTCTTAAACGTACATAAACAAATTAAAAACACATTTTCTTCTTCATAAAGTAATATTTTGAAGTCATACTTATATAAATATATATTTTTTAAGATTTTACCTATTTTAATAATAACCTATCAAGTTTAAAGTTCTCAGGGACTAATTGACATATTAAAAAAATCAGTAAACAAAAATAACAGTGATGAATATAGATTGATTTTTATCCAAAAAGATAAAAGAAAGTCTTTTAAATTAAGGAACAGGTCTAACTATAGCTAAGAACATGAAAATCAATATTTTTATGTTCGTGTCATCGTTGAAGAGAAAAAGTAAAAATAATAGTTCCTCAAGAGAGATTTTAAAACTAAAATGGTAGACGTCCAGACTAAAAGACTAAAAAGGAATATTTTTCTCATATTCAAAGAGAGCTATGAATTTATATTAGAAACTGTAATATCACAATAGTAAAAGATATTGATTCTCTTTTAAATTGGTAGTAAACTGAGAAATTATGTGAATTTTCATTATCAAATGAAACATGACATGGGATAGTCATATGACAAATCTCATTATATAGAATAGATTTGATTTAATGAATATCTATCTATAACTTTGCAGTCCAACAAAATATGTAGAAAAATATAAAAATTCTTGCAACAAGATGCAAAAATTGTTTAATAAAAGAAAATGAGAAACTGAATACAAAACTTTATGTAAGTAATATTATTGTTTGAAAATTTTAATATTAGCAATAGACAAAGGTTTCCTGAATATAAAGTTAATTCTTAGTATAAACTCACTCTAATTATTATAATTTATAATATATTATAATAAAGCACTATTATATAGAGAATAGTGAAAGCAATCAACAAGTGATGATTGAAAGTTGAAATCATATGCTTCTAAAGTTTAAAGGTTGAAGATGATGTTTATCTCATAAAGTAGACTATAATAGTTTGATGTATAAACTAAAGTGATTGAGTACATGCGAGTGATTGGAAGGCTAGAAATGCAGGAGAAGAGGTGAGGGACTGGTGATTTACATATTTGCAGGTGCTGCGGAACACTTTGAGCAACAGGCTAACCGTGTTAATTGCCATATCAAGAGAGTTAAGCCTGGAGAATGAGAAATTTTCACTGCAACAAGGAAGTAGAAATTGCATAAGCCAAACTAACTATGTTGAATTTTTTATGCTGTCAAGGCTAGTGAACTCGGATTCTTATTGAACCAAGAAATATAATCTGTCCACAATCCACACCAGAATAAATGGAGTTTTCCAAAAAAATCTGTCAGTAGTGAAAGACCTTTTAAGGATAGGAGACATAGAACTAAATAAGAATCTTTTCGTGTACAATTCTGCATAATCTCAAATGTTATCCATTCTGATTTGTAGATCAAATAATATAATACAAACAAAAGTTCCTAAATTCATCGAGATATAAAAGAGTACATAAGTTATTATGCTTGCATATCCACCCATCCATCCGGTTAAAATGAGATTGGCATGAAAGCTCCGTGAAATCCATATGGAACTCTGCAAGGCATTGTAATTTTGGAAATTGCCTCTCCAGAAAACTTCCTTGTGTCAATTATATGAACCTAGAGCAAAAATTAATTAATTAGATCAAATAATTAATTGGTGCACATATAACACTATATATATTTGACCTACTTGAGATATGCCGGTATCTTCATTGTGAACAAAAGTGATTATCCAACCATCATCTTCTTCAAGACCACCTTCCTTAGGGACAAAGGCAGATCCGGTGCAAAATACATTTTTTTCAAACCTATGGTATTCCACCCTTATAAACTCTTCTTCCTGTGTGTCCCCCTGATTTACACATTTGAATTTGAATCATTTTAAGAAAAAAAAATATATATATACATGAAAGAAAAGTAATGAACTTTTATTTGATGTCATCATTTACCAAAGGGAATTCTGAACATGGTTCTTCGAAGTATAGCTTCGCTAAAGCTCCGTATTTAGGAATATCTAAAGGGTCAAACATGAAACATCAGATATGAATCTAGGTTTTCGGTTAAATTAGGGTTGTTGTAATGGTTAAATGGTTAAATAATCACCTGCAGCATAACTTGCAGTAGGATCAACCACTTGGGTGTATCCGTATTTATTCTTAATTCCTGTAAAACTTGCATTAATTACAGGAAAATCCATAAACTGTTCTGGTCCAGTGAGGTATTTCTCCTTAACCTCCCCGCTTACCATGTTTAATCTCCATTCATAACACCGAGAGAAAAACTTGGATTCTTTCAGACCATCTTCAGGTCCTGGAATTATTGCATCTAGTGCTCTGCAACCCCACAACACAACCTGGTACAATGTACAAAATTTCACAATTTTGCAGCTAACTGCTAACTTTTAGAGTATCCGAAGAAGTGCTTGGTTAGTTTCTAATACTATTCATCTGTGGATAAGTTACGACCTCATGACCATCCTCAAAGGAATTGATGATATGAAATGTGTTATTAGGTTCCACCTCAAACCACTGGATTGAGTTAGCATCACCATAGGGCGGCATTATCCCAATCCTGGCATATTTCTCCTTCTCGTATTTGATTAATCTACAGCAATAATTTGGAGATAATTAACCTACAAAGATTCTATGAGGTCTTACTATAGTCAATATATATATGTATATATGAGTACTCAATACTCACTGGCCTCTTCTGAGTAGTCTGTTCGAATCTACAATCAGTGGACAATCCAATATCACTATATACCTGCTAACCAAAAACATAAATGAATGCATTAATTTCAACGCGTCAATATTCTCATTCTAGTCATATACCCTGGCTTATAATGTCATTATTTGGTTTGTAATGAATGTTATTGTTATACCTGCTTGTGATACCTATTTCATGGGATAAACTGCTTCTGTCTAGTTTTAGGTCTGCTTTATGAACCAATTCCTTTCCATCAGCTGAAAATGGTTAACATTAACGGGTATGCTATCGATATTTACACAACACTACATCAGCACAACCTTTTCTTTTATCAAAACCAATTAGTATTATTGGGTTTTTATTAAGAATTTAAGGCATACATACCCGAAACTATTCCAATTTCAAAATAAGGTTTAGTTGCATCTACTCCAAAAATAACCAGCTCTCCTGTACCGAGAATTTTCTGCATGAAACATCGAGAAATTAAATTTTATCAAGCACAAATAAGAGAAAATCTCAACTATCATTAAGTAAATAAAATAACTTTATGTGTATTTTATCATAAGTTAGAGGATTCTAGTCTCTTAAGCTGTCACCAGATATTCTTAAAACATATAAAAAGAAACCTTAGGATGACTTGCAAAAGGACGATTCCATGCGCCATTGACATCCCAGTCTCTTACAGTATTTAGTGTGAAGATGTCAATCTCTTGTGGGATGTAATTCTCGGAAATCGAGTAAAACTTGCCTGAATGCTCAAACACATTGGTGTTGCTGTAATCTTTATTTAGTTTTCCAAATCTCAGCTGTGAAATCCACAAGGAGAAAATTCAAAACTCGTGTGAGATAATTAACCTTGAACTCTAACACCAAACTTCAAGATATATAATAATAATTAGGGATTCTGGTTGTATGAAAAAAAATAAAAAACTCTTTTACGTGATAAATATAACACTATGCATGTATACTCAAAATAGTACTTACCTCCGGTAACTTTTTTTAAAACAGATATTTAATCCATGAAATGTCAATTATTTTGAATATATGGTAGAAAATGCTAACCCAGTTTAGAAGCATAGAAGACAAAACGGCCAATGAATCTCCTCTTACGGCAGGGAGAAACAATGGGTTGGTACTTTGATTCTCAAGGTTGTATGTTACAGTTTGAACGTATCTGTTGTTGTAGAAGATGGTGCAGCACCCATCATTTTTCCTTTTGAAGTACAAAGCATGAAGCATTCCTTCTCCTTCCACCCAAATACTCTTTGTCCTCCCCAACATGGACTTGGTTGATTTCAATCCTCCAAAGAGTGGATTTGGTCCTGTACAAGTGTGCATATAAACCAATATATACTAATTAACATAATAAATAATCAAGTTTGTATTTACTTTTCCTCACATCTTTTTGTTTCTCTTCCTTCTATTCATTTCATACCAGATGTGCTAGATTGCATTGAAAAATAAGTACGAGTTTCTTTAAGTGAGAAATATTTAAATTATAATATTTTAATGTACCTTTTAAATAATAAAAAATGTAAATTTTATATTTTATTTAATAAATTTCACTTAAAATTTAAATAATCTTCGAAAAAAAAGAATTCGTTAACATGATTGTCTTGTCTTGTTAACACTCCTTGTATGAATATGAAGCTATTTTCGTTAACTCTTTTTTCATTAAATTTTGAAAGAATTGAATGCATTAAACTATTTATTCAAACATGTTGAAAGAAAACCTTGGTGATGGGTGTTAAATAAGTACAAATTTTCAATTAATTATCTTTTTATATCCTTTCCCACCCCTCGTCAAAACAAATTCTCTAGTTAGGCACTATGCTCATGATTAATTAAGAGAAAATTTTACACATCTACAATTTGACAATAATAATTTGAAAAATTAAATGTAATCAAACTAAATATTCAATTATGGATAATAATAATAATAATAATGTTTATATTTATTATTAATTTTAAATGTTTATATTTATTATTATTAAATAAGGTGGTAGATGATGAAAAAAATTGATGTAGAAAAATCTTTATTATAACATGTAAACAACCATAGTGTTAAATCATATTATCATCCCACTGTAATAAAAATTGTTATTAAAAATTAAATTATTAGTTCCTAAAGCAATAATGATGAAACATATAATGATTATATTAATTTTAGAATTTAATTTTAATAAATAATTAGATCTTAATAAGTAATATTAGAGTCTAATTTAAATTCTGATTTGGAAACCAAATTAAAATTAATGTAGCTAAAATAATTTCCAATTAATTAATGATAAAATATTTTTATCTTTAAAATAATCTATATTTAATAAAAAAGTTAGTATTATTTATTGATATTTCACTTTTATTAATTAAATCAAAAGTAATATGTTTTAATTTGAGGAAAAGGTAACATAATTTTCTCTTTTAATTTTTTTTTCTCACACTGCCTAGACTTATTGAGGAAAAATAATAGCAATAACTAATTTTTCTCAGTTTTTTATTATTTTCAAGGTTTTTATGAAAAGTATGTGATTTGTTCGAGTTTTATAAACCTTTGTCAGAAAAAGAAAAAAAAAAACTAGATTTATTTAATGGCTTGAATTTTTTTTTTCTTTTTATGAAATATAAACCTAATCACAGTTACTACACACAGAAGCATGCATCCATATATCTATCATCCTCTTCATTCGAGTGAGTCTATAGATTATAAAAAGTATATCGACACATAACACAGTAAATTGGAGAACTAATATTATTAAAAACTATGCTCTTGGACAATCAGAACAGCTAAGTGTTGTAAAAAAAGAGTGAAAGAACATGATCTTAGCATGGCACATGCATCCAGATAGAGTTACAAAATTAAAGATTCGTAGTACCGAATACGAACCATTTCTAATGAAGACACCTTCTGGAAAATGATCTGGTATGTCGCCTTCAATGTGAGTGATAGCCATGGCTTCCTCTAATTCCTCCACCGGAGCAAAGTTACTCTGCAAAACACTATATAATTAATAAACTGATAAATTAAAACGGTGAGATTAAAACACTTTAATTAGTATGTAGTTCACCTGAGATGGAAGCGATAGCTGGTCGACAAACTCAAAGGCTGAATCCACAATCGCGTTAAGAAATTTGGTTTTAATGTGTGAGATGGTTTTGGAAGCATCGATTTGCAGTGGAATTTGAGGTATGGCTCTTAGCTGCTCATGAAGTCAACATGAATGTTTTACATGGAACTCTTCACACTTGAACGTTAATTAGGTTTAAAACATTAAGAGGCAGATTTAATTACCTTAAAGTTTGAGGAACGTCCCAAAGTAATAGGATGGTGTGGGAAGATAAAGGGTCTTTTCTGAATGGAGCAATGAGTAGTGTATGAAGTTGCCATATTCATTTCCATTTTTACTACTACTCGCGTTTCGATACAGCACTACCAGCTCAATATAAATACTAAACCGAACTAAACATTTTATATTAACTTACACAAATAAAATTATTTTAGCATCCATCAAATATTTGAAAAAAAAAAAAAACTTCAGTGGGACTTTTTTTATAACATTTCATGGTTAGAACAAAATTTACAATATAATCTTATAAATTTCTTGGAGCTTTCCCACGGCATATATAGCTTCTCTGGTTCCGGAATATTCCTCTCAGTTGCATTTTAAAATTTTCATAGACACTGCGTTCCGAATGTAGAAGTTGTCTGATGTAAGTGGAATTACATTATAAATGAAAAAGATGCATGAGATAATATTTTAAAGGTTTTTTTATTAAAAGTGATATTATATTCCTTTATATGATTGTATGTAAAAATCTATCTATTATTATATCTTCATCATCAATATTAACAAACACAATCCATTTCACATTTCTATCTATATCTTTTATACATTTTTAAAAAATTTATGTTATAAATTCTCATTGGTTTAACATTTTAAAGATATGCTCTTACAATTGCACTTGATCATACTGAAAGTTATATATTTTGCTGGTTATTCATTTGGTTTATCTCTTTTTATATAAATATTGTTTACTACGTTAAATTCAAAATAAAATATTTTACATTCAAAATAACAACAAGATAAGTTAAATGTAATTCGCTTGTAATAACTTTTTTCTTAGCAATGTTGGCATGAGTGTACATTATTTATGCTAACAATTTTAAATCTATATTGACAGAGACAAGCCTAATAATAAACCTTTTAGTGTATGGATTTTTGTAGTGTTAACTCACATATAATAAAAATCAAACTCTTTTTAATCGATTTCCTTTTTCTCTTTCTTACTATAACACGAATAAATAAATAAAAATTAATTTATTCACATTTATAATTCCTTTGACTTTATTATTTTGACGCATTCATAATTTCTCAAACCATCAGATACGATATAATGGCCTTACCTATAAACCTGCAGAAGATGAATCTGTGTAAACGATAATTATATTGAAAAATTCTTGGCATAGTAAATAACTAGCTTTTGTTGTGTTTATGTTCATATATATTTTTTCCTTTGAAATGAAGGATAATTATGAAAAAAGTACTTATCATAATGTCGTCGAGGACAGAGACTTGTTTGTTTATAAATATGTGTTTGGCGTAAATTAGTAATCAATTTAATTTCGGGATTTAGTTATTTCTAAAGTGAGAAATTCACTTTCGAAATCATGATATATTTTAAATTAAAACTATTTTGAATATATAGTTCATAAAATCTATATGCACGAAATCATTTCATGAAATTTTATTTCAACACAACTAGATGAATTAAATTAGTTTCAACATGGATGGATGAAGAATAAATGAATTGTTCTCATCCCATTTTTTACTTTTTAGGGTAAAATCATGCAATATGAAAAATGCATTTCTCTCTCATGTGACAATGATGCATGTGCCTTTGGCTTATTTATTCACCATATGTGTTTGTTCTTTCTACATTGAGATGCTTCCCATGTGGGAAGGGAACTATTTGAGTTTGTTGGATTTGTTTAGCCATTGTATTTGACAACTACTTGAGTTTTAAATCATCCAAAGGAGTCAATGAAGAAGACAATACATTAAAAAAAAAAAACAAAGAGTTATATCCCAAAACAATAAATTAGTGAATTTATTGGCTATTATTGGTACAGTTAAAATTTATTTTTTATTTTTTTTATAAGCCAAGACAATAAGTTAAAAATAATAATTAATAAAACATCTTTGTCTTATAATGTTGATATAACCTAATAAAAGTAAATTATATTAATATTATATGCAATATTCCAGGCATGATGTTGATAAAGACAATTGCTAAAGTTTTAAAACTCATAAAACTGATCTCAAATAATTTAGAATTAACATAGTTTACAGGACAGAGTAAAGTAAATATTGTAACACAAGTAGTCTAGTCTGGGGTTATTACGAAACAAAATTGTTCTTTTGCCACGGTACACACTCATGGTCTTGGAAATCATGTTTTGTAAGAGAAATTTTTTTTGTCTTTTCTGGATTATCTCTTGGCTTGTATTTATACTTTCAGTTATCGCTTGTGTCCCTCTGACGTTGGAGTACACGCTCTATTTTGCTCATAAAAATAAAAAACAAACGAGGCATTGTTTGGCTCTGAAGTTGCTTTCCATTAGCCCCGACGTAGCTGGTTCAACACAATGCAACGTCATCTGCATATAAATATTTTACTGCAGTTTCGTACAATCATATACGATAGGACATCATTGACCTCTAGCTACAACTTGCACGTAAACCATTTTTAACCAAACTTACAAACGAAGTAGAAAAGTTACAAAGATATTAAATATTTCATGGTGAAAATCTTAATTGCTAATACGAATTCATTCCTCTAAAGAAACGTATCTCCTGACGAGCACTTGAGTGCCATTGACCACCAAAACACCAATCTCTTGGTCAATATTTGAGTGCCACATAAACATCTACTAAAACCCACTAGGGTCATTCTAAGGCGTTTGTTGGTGATACACACTATAGTGCTACTGTGCTTGAAACGCAATTGGCATGAAAGCTCCATGAAATCCATATGGTACTCTGCGAGGCAGGGTGATTTTGGTAACCATTTCACCACAGAACTTCTTTGTGTCTATTATATGAACCTGAAAGAAAAGTGGATAAGAGCTTGTCAATGTACGAGTAATACTCTGCAAGATCCACCATAGCTATGGAGAAATACCAACTCACTTCAGATATGTTGATATCTTCATTGTGAACAAAAGCTATGATCCAACCGTCATCTTCTTCAAGACCCCCATCTCTGGGGACAAAGGCAGCCCCGCTGCAAAATGTGTTCTTCCCAAACATATGGCACTCCACTCTTATAGGCTTTTCAGCTTGCTCTTTGTTTCCCTGGTTCACAAAATCCAAGTTACGATAGTTGCAACCAATGAACTAGAAATTGCTATTAGCAAAACGTGTTGTCCAAACATTCTTTTACCATGGAGAACTGTGTACATGATTCTTCAAAGTAGAGTTTTGCTAAACCTCCATATTTTGGTGCGTCTAAATAACTCAATGACACAGTCATGTTATAGAATGTTTATTAAAAGAAATATGAAAGGTTATTTGTAATTATTGAGGAAAAAATGAAAAAGAAAAAGATTTTCTTGTATAATGTTACCTTGAGTAGAGCTTGCAATTGGATCGACTATCTGGGTGTATGCATATCTATTCCTCATTCCTATGAAGTTTCCATTGATCATAGGGAAATCCATATAAACTACGTTGGCTCCACAGAGATCTTTCTCCTTAACTTCTCCTGTCTCCATATTCAATCGCCACTCGTAACAACGAGATAACCACTCGCATTCCTTCAAACTTGGGTCAGGTCCAGGAATTAGTGAATCTAGAGATCTGCAACCCCTCACTACAACCTGTTAATACACATTCATATATATTTTCAAAATTTTTGCGTGCCCCTTTTGATCATAAATCTGATAATTTCTTTTAGTCTATATTTGGTTCCACACCAGATATCCACATTTATGGCAAAATCATGTCAAACATATTAAAAATCTTCTATATAGAGGACTATTACGTTATTACTACTACGTAACTTGCCTCGTGTCCATCCTCAAAAGAGTTTATAATGTGAAACGTGCAATTAGGTTCCACCTTAAACCATTTGATTGAGTTGGCATCACCATAGCGTGGCAGTACCCCAATCCTTGCGTATTCCTCCTTATTATACTTTATTAATCTACACGCAGACAAGAGATGCTGAGTTACAGAACACTTTTGTATAACTTCATCATAGATTGAATTGAAGGCATGTTCTCTAATGCACAGGATATTCGCACTCACTGGCCTCCTCTAAGAAGTCTGTTTATATCAAGAGTTAGAGGAAAATCCATGATCACATTGTACCTGTTAAACAAAAACCCACAATACATATTTTATAATGCAGATTTCAGATAATAACTCCAAGTCAGCACAGTAGTCAATGATGCTACCTCTCAGTAACACCAATGTCATGGCAAAGAGTGCACCTATTTAGTTCGAGATCAACTTTTTGAACCAATTTCTCTCCATCAGCTAAAAAAGGAGAGGAAAAAAAAGCATGTACTTGAAATCTCAGATATTACTCACTAGTGAAAGCAAGTAATTAATACCACTTATTTTTCTTTACTTTTACAATACAAAGCATACCAGAAATAATTCCAACAACGGCAAAAGGTTTGGTTGCTGCAACACCTAATGTGACTAGCTCCCCCGTACCTGGAGCCTTCTGTGATAGTACATCAAAAGAATCTGAGATAGAGCACACGATTTAGAGTGCTAAAACTATTGATTTGTTAATCTGCATATAAAGAAAAACCTTTGGGTGACTGGTAAAAGGACGATCCCAGTCGCCATTGACATTCCAATTTCCTAGAGTTTTTAGTTTGAAGATATCAATCTCTTGTGGGATGTGATTTTCAGCAACCGAGTAAAAGTTACCTGAATGCTCAAACACATTGGTGTTGCTGATGTACTTGTTTACTTTGCCAAATCGCAACTGTTAAACCCACAAGATGTGACGAAATGTGGCATGCCAATTCATTAAAGGGGTCCAAAATTTCATCAAATTATTGCTTGATTCTTCACAAATGAGTTTGTTAATTAGCCATATAAATGCATGAATTCTTAGAAGAAACAAGCTTGTTATGTGTAATATTGCTAATATTAGCCAGATCATTATACCATTCTTTCTGGCTTGAAGACTAAGCCCTATTAAAATCTGCATTACCGTTCACTAATTTTAATAAGTTCTTTGAAACCAAGGCTATTTTAGTGTGCTAAGAATCATAACAATTACAGTAGGCTAACCCAATTTAGCAGATAAGCACACAAAATGGCCGGTGAATCGCCTTCTATGGCCGGTAGAAACGATGGTTTGCTTCGTTGCTTTTCAATCTTGTATGTATCGGTTTCAACGTGCTTGTTGTTGTAAAGGACCGTCCAGCTCCCTTGACTTGACCTTTTAAAATAAATTGCGTGAAGCATTCCCTCTCCTTCCACCCAAATGTGACTTGACCTCCCAAAGATAGACTTAGTTGATTTTAATCCTCCAAAAAGTGGATTTGGCCCTGCAAGATTAGCAAAATACATATATACCTAAGTTAAAAGATAAGTTGGGTTAAATATATAATTTATCTTTTACATGTGTTGCAAAATATCAATTTATTTTCTAGTATGCTGCTACATTAATATATAATTATCAAACAGCCCTAAGCATTATAGTATACTATGCCTGACATTTTGAATATGTTGTACCTTGCAGCCTGCAACTGCAGCTTATGTCGTTTTCACTGTTTTCTCCGCAATACTATATTAAAAGTAGAATATGAAGGGCCTGAAGTAATGTCAAAGTCGAATTTTTGGTCCTCGATAATGGAGTTTATGGAATTTATTTACCTTAACTACAAGGAAGGACAAATGCTTAGGGCTTAATTAAGATGCCACTCACATAGGGAGTTTATTTATTTATAACATTTTATATATATAAACTCGAAATAACGTTGAATTAATAGTACAAAGTTCAAAGGAATCCCCACCATTTCTAATGTAGACACCCTCTGGAAAATCGTCTGGAATTCGTCCTTGGATGCTGGTAACAAATATGGCTTCACCCAACTCCTCCACCGGAGCAAAGTTACTCTGCACAATTAATGAAACACTAATGATTAGAGGCTCAAAAGATCCTATATAAGATGTGCTATGCATGCAGCAAGTCAGATTCTAGAAGAAACTTCCTTATCGTATATAGTAGGTACCTGAGATGGAAGCAGTGGTCGGTCAACAAATTCAAAGAACGAATCTACAAAGGCGTTAAGCAATTTAGATGCAGTGTTTGTCATAGTCTTTTGAACATCAATTTGTGAAGGGACTTTAGGCAGAATTTTCTTCAGTGGTGGCTGCTCAATAAACATACATTCACTTGCAGTTAAAGTGGGAAAAGCAAAAACAAAACAAAATGTGTGTCATAATATAATATATATATATATATATATATATATATATGTATATATATACATATTTGTTTACCTTAAAGGCAGCGAAGGGTGGAAGGTTGAAGTGACGAGAATTGTCTGAGACATTGGAGGGTCCTTTCTGAATGGAGCAGTTCACTAGGAATGCTTTATATGAAGTGGCCATGGAGGTGTGGGTTAACTTAGCTTGGTGCTTCTATATATATATATATATATATATATATATTCACAGTTTGGTTTGGGTTAACTTCAACGTACATGTACCAAAATGGCTTCGTGCGCATCTAAATATGGTGGGTGCATTGAAATCCGAATCTATTGGGAATGTAAGAGAGTTGTATCAGAGCTAATTATTGGTCCTCTTCGATACGATAGGAACTCTACTCTAGTACAGTTAATAAATTAATAAAAAACTTTTGTTACGTGGCATCCAAATATATCAAGTTTAATGATACTCTTTCTTCTCCATTAAGAGTTAAGTTGAGAAAAAGTAATGGTCGACTTTCGTTCATTTTTGTATTTATGGTAAGTCTATCATCAAGTAATCAATAGCTATTAATTTAGGTATTCTAGGATAATGCCTACAAATTTGTGGCTTCGCATAATGAATAAAGATAATAAGAATTATGGTTTTATTCAGACAACCTGACCGGGTTTTCATTAAGTAATCATTAGAAATAAAGTTTTCTAATATTAGATGCTTGGATGGAATTTTTCTGAATAGGTTTTACGTATGGTTCTTAATTTTGTTAAGTAAAGATTAAATGTATATAATTGAGAAGTAGTGATTATAGAGGTAGTAGTTGAGAGGTAGTAGTTGTATTGAATGTATGTAGTTGAGAGATAGTGAGTGTATTAAATGTATGTAGTTGAAAAATAGTAGTTGTATTAAATGCATGTCGTTGAGAGGTCATATTCAAATGTCTATAAATTGACCATGTATCACTCATTGCAAAATCATCAAGTAATAACATATAGAGTGTTTTGTTTAGATACTTGTTTGTCAAAAAATTGACATCAAAGCTTAAGAGTCGGAGTGCGTTAGAGAGAGTGTTTGAGAGTTAAAGAGTTTGTTCGAGATGATCAACTTAGCTAACAACATGCTCCTGCCAAAGTTATCGAAAGGCGTAAGCTATGATAATTGGAGCCTGTAAATGAAGGCTCTCCTTGGTTCCCAGGAAGTATGGGATGTGGTCGAAAATGGGTACCAAGAACCAGAGAACATTGAGAGCAACACAAGTAAAGGACAAAACGACTTTGTACGTGATGTACCGAGTTGTTGATGAGTTCGGCTTTGAGAAGATAGCAAATGCTAAATCTTCAAAAGAAGCGTGAGATATTCTGGAGAAGGCATATAAAGGGGATAATCGTGTGAAGCAAGTCAGGCTTCAAACTCTTAGAGGCGAGTTTGAAAGCATGAGGATGAAAGAGGTCGAAGAGGTTGCCGAGTACATCTCCCGTGTTGAGACCGTGATGAATCAACTCGGAAGAAATGGAGAGACGCTGCCCACTTGCCGAGTAGTAGAGAAAATCTTAAGGTCGTTAACTGACGACTTTGAGAATATCGTTTGTGCAATAAATGAGTCCAAGGACTTGTCAGTGCTCTCGGTGGAAGAGCTTGCTGGGTCGCTTGAAGCGCATGAGCAGCAGAGAACGAAGAAGAAAGAGGAGTCCCTTGATTAAGCACTCCAAGCAAAGGCAATCTTAAAGTAGAAGAATGTTCCTTATGCTCAAAACACTCAAGGTCGAGGTGGTAGAGGCAGAGGAGGATATGAAAGAGGTAAGGAGCAAGTCAATCAACAAAATTGGCGTGGCTGAGGACAAGGTAGAGGTCGTGGCGGTAGAGGCCGAGGTGGTCAGTCAAGAAATTTCGGAGTTGAGTGCTTCAAATGTGGGAAATACGGTCATTTTGCTAAGGACTGTTATTCAAGTATCAAATGTTATAATTGTGGGAAGGTTGGGCAGTTTGTGAAGGAATGCCGATTTGAGAGCAAGAAGGAAACAAATCTCCTTTCTGAGGACGCTGAGGAAGAAGGAGTATTGATGATGTCGAGAAGTTCGGATGTCGAGCTAAGTCCGAGCTGTTCTGATAACTCGGTTTGGTATCTTGATACAGGAGCAAGTAACCACATGTGCGGGGACGAGAACCTTTTTAAGGAGCTCACTAAAGTTGAGGTTGAACACGTGTCATTTGGAGATGCATCAAAGGTGGTAGTAAAAGGTAGAGGTACAATCTAATACCTGCAGAAGAATAACCGAGTTGGAGAAATCAGAGATGTGTACTATGTACCCGATCTCAAAAGCAACATATTGAGCATGGGTCAGCTGATGGAGAAAGGCTACTCGGTTCTGATGAAAGACCGAGTACTATACCTGAAGGACAAGTCAGATCGTTTGATTGTCCGAGTAGAAATGAAGAAGAACAGAATGTACAAGCTGGACTTTAAGATAGTTCAAGAGAGGTGCTTGAAACTTGACGTGAAGGATGAAGCAATGATGTGACACTTTTGATTTGGTCACTTGCATTTTTGCGGGCTGACCGAGTTAGTAAAGAAAGAGATGGTGCGAGGACTCCCGTCTGTGGAATTTGAAAAGAAATTCTGTGAAGAGTGTGTGCTCGGGAAACATCTGAAGACCTCATTTCCAAGGACGGCCGAGTACCGTGCAAAGGAACAATTCGGATTAATTCACACAAATCTTTGTGGACCGGTTACCCCTGAGTCCTTCAGTGAGAAAAGGTATTTCATTTCTTTTATAGATGATTTTTCAAGAAAAACTTGGGTATATTTTTTGAAGGAGAAATCTGAGGTGTTTGAGATGTTCAAGAGATTTAAAACAATGGTTGAGAAAAAGACTGACATGCCTATCAAATCTGTTAGGTCTGATCGAGGAGGCGAGTTCATTTCATCCAAACTCATGAAGTATTGCGAGGAGGGGAGATTTCTGACAACACCATACTCACCCTAACAAAATAGAGTTGCCGAGAGGAAGAATCGAACCATTCTTGACATGGTTCGAAAAATGTTGAGAAGCAAAAACGTTTCAAAGGAGTTCTCGGCAAAAGCAGTGCAATGTGCCATCTATGTGCAAAATAGATGTCCACATGCTAAGCTGAACGAGAAGACACCGCAAGAAGTCTGGAGTGGAAGAAAACCGAGTGTGTCTCACCTTAAAGTGTTTGGTAGCATAGCTTATGGTCATGCTCCAGCTCAACAGAGGACCAAGCTCGAAGATAGAAGCAAAAAGTATGTGTTTATTGGGTATGATGAAAAAGTCAAGGCGTACAGGTTATTTAACCCAATAACTAAGAAGGTCATCATGAGCCGAGATGTTCAAATTGATGAAGAAAGCGAGTGGAGTTGGAACAATCCAGAGAAGGATTCCATAGGAAGTAGAAGCTCGGAAGTTGATACACCACATACTGTGAGAGATCATGAGACTTCTAATGAAGAAGATGAACCTCTATAGCCCAGAGCGCGAAGTTTACAAGATATATACAACTCTACTGACGAAGTGCATGTTATATGTCTCTTGGCAGATTCAAAAGACTTAAGTTTTGAAGAGGTCGTGCAGTAGAAAAGATGGAAAAAGACAATGAATGAGGAGACCGAGGCAATAGAACGCAACAACACATGGGAGCTAACTGATTTGCCCAAAGGAGTGCGGCCTATCGGCGTAAAGTGGGTGTACAAAAAGAAGACAAATGCTGAAGGAGAAGTTGAGCGATATAAAGCTCGACTCGTAGTGAAGGGGTACAAGCAGAAGGAAGGAATAAACTATGACGAAGTATTCGCCCCAGTGACGAGAATGAAAACAATTAGGCTGCTGATTTCCTTAGCAGCTCAACACAGATGGACAATCTTGCAGATGGACGTGAAGTCGACATTTCTGAATGGAATCTTGGAGGAGGAAGTATATGTTGAACAACCACTCGGATACATGCGAAGAGGCGATGAGAAGAAAGTGTTGAGATTGAAAAAGGCACTTTGTGGCTTGAAACAAACTCCACGACATGGAATGAAAGAATTGACACTTACTTCAAAAGGAATGGATATGAGCAGTATCCTTATGAACATGCTCTATACATAAAGAAGAGAGGAGTGTTAGAAAAGTAGTTTTAAATCAAGAGGGGGGGTGAATTGATTTTTGAAAGTTTTTCGCAATACACAGATTATCTAATTCGAAAATTAAGATTACTTATCAATTCACAAATCACAAAGCAATCAAACAGTTTAAGTGCAGCAGCAGAAATTAAAGAGAGAAAGGTTAGGAAAGATTTCACCGGTAATTTTATACTGGTTCACCCAATACCAGGGCTACGTCCAGACTCCAGCCAAATTCCAGCTGGGTTCCACTAGAATAGATGTTTTACAGACTCACCCTCTTACACCTATTCTAACTCTCCACCAAGAACCAAATTCCAGTTCTTGGAAACCTCTGCAACCAAATTCCAGCCACAGAGAACCCAGTGCCCAAATTCCAGGCACCACACACAAGAACCAAATTCCAGCTCTTGCTTTAACCTTTCCACCAAGAACCAAATTCCAGTTCTTGGCAACTTTCTACAACAGCTGCAGAAAACTTGTACCCAAATTCCAGGTACAAAACAGTACAAATGAATGAATAGAAATTTAAAAGAAGAAACAAAGAAAGCTCAAACCGGATTACACCAATCCACAGTCAGTTTCTTCTTCAAAGAAATGCAAAGTGCCTCAAGAAAGATTTCAAAAGAAGTTCACAAAAACAGTTGTGTATCTTTCTTGAAAAATGCTAATAGTTGTTTGTATTGATTGCTTGAATTGTGTAAAAACTGATGTATGATCTATATCTCAAAGTTTCAAGCAAATCTGTTTATAAAAGAGTATTTTCAAATCTGCTGCATTAATTAATCTGTTGAAAGTTTGTTTTAATCTGTTGAAATAGCCGTTACAATCTGTTAAAAGTCCTTTCAACCCATTAATGCGTTCTTGATCTTTAACAGAAAATGTTTTAGTTGATACGACCACGTTTTTATCAGTTAAAACGTTTTACAAACATTTTCTAAGTATAAAACAATCGATTGAATCACGTATTAATCGATTGATTTGTTTAAAAACCTTCTTATAAAACTTTCTAAGTTATTTTAGCTGATATAAAGTCGTTTCAATCGATTGAAAAACTGCACAT